GCAGTGAGCAGAGGTGAGACTGGCTTGTCAAAGAGGAAGTGCTCCTGAACCACAGCAGCATGAAATGGAGAGTCCACAATCACTGTGTATAGAGGCAATTCTAAAACAAATTGCCTGAAAGTTCTTGTACCTGGGATGGGCAATTCCAGCCATAAAAGACCAATGGACTATGGTGCTAATGTTTTCTAACAAACTCAATTCAGATACTATGGCCCTCTATGACTGGAATTCCTACACCATCACAAAGTTTAGTCATGCAATAGTGCAACCCTGAAGGTTTCTTTAAGATGGTACCCACATCAATGAGTCTCTGCTGCTCTAGATCGGTCATTTCACTCAAGCTGTAGTATCGGCCAGTCAGGTCTCCCTTCAGACCAGACAGGGCCTGGACCACCACCCTCTCCACCTCACGACGTTCCGAGCGGGTGCAGGCAGGAGGCAGGCTCAGGCCCCTGATGCTGCGGCCTGTCCGCACGCGAGATGACAGGACATAACGCTCGTCAAACATGCCCGAGGTGATCTACAAGGAACCGGTGGGAACACCTTGACTTGATTGCATAGTAAAACTTAGAACAAGAGCGTCCAGTCTTATGCAAAGCAGGAGTGCACATGATCAAATGTTTGCAAACTGAGACCAAATGATTAATAAAGTACAATTAATTATGCTCCTGCTTGATCGGAATGAAAACCTGCAACCACACTGACCCTTTGTGGATAAGACTGGACACCCTTGATTCAAAGGAACCATGCTGTGACTCCACACAAGGACATTAACAGATAAAAGATTACGACAGGAACCTTGGAGGCGTCCAGGTCTGTGGGATGCTTCATAGCCCTTGGGTCATAGCCGTTGTGTCTGTCCTTGATCACGGGATCAAAAAGCTCAGCAAACACCTGCAATATCATAAGTAAAAAAAGAAGGGAGGAGTGAGCTGAAGATCTGTCTTCTAATGACCACAAGCATGATACCTTCTTCAGAAGAGGTTCTAAATAACAATGAACACATTAGTTATCCTATCTCACTTAATTTTACCTCATAGCTTTCCTCGTCACCAGCAACCATACCCACTGTCTTGATGAAGGGATGACCAGGATTGTCTACACCAGTCTGGATGCACTGGTCAAGGGTCCAGTTGTTCGGAGTCACCTTGTCCCTTAGCTTGGCATAGATGGCTGGGGTCAGAGCACTGGCCATACAGTTGTTGTGCTTTCTAAGATCTGGGTAGTCAGCACTGTTGGAAAAAAGAGCAGGAAAAGGCTAGGGTCCCTTACTACAGCCGAGGGCTATTAGGATTAGGACAGTGATGAATGAATTGATACTTTCTGGTCAGGATTCAAATACCTCTCTAATAGAGGTACATAATGACAGCAATGAAATGTCATGTTCTTGCACAATTTAGTGTTGCCAATGCTCTCACACATCCTGGCAATGTATCAGTTACAAACATGACAGCAGACCGTCCAAAGTTAGCTCTGAGGAGAGGCTTATGTCTCGACAGCTGATCTAATTTGATCTTTCCTGTGTGAAGAAGAAAGGGCGCCTGGCAAGTCTGCACATTAAGCTACTTAAGTTTAACAGTCCTGCCCTTTCACCTTTCACTTAGTTCCTGTGTGACACCACACTCAATTAAATGGTGATCATGACTACTACATCTGGAGAAAATGATCTATTTCCTTTTTAGTATTCTTGTAGTGTAGTTGTACTACAACTATAAGATACTGCTTAATAACAATTGCATATGTGAGAGACCAGACACTTAACACGACATAGTAAAGATATGTCCCACCTTCACCACCTTCTCTGGCGTAAATCATGTGTGGATACCTGGGAGGGTACAGCTTCCTTTTTTCTGCAGCTGAAATCCTTGCATTTTCACGCATGAGGTAGCCAGCTGCTATGGTGCCAGCACCCAGACTGGCCAGGAGCAGGCTGGTGTTCCGGCTTGTCAGAAGCCTGGTGAAGGTGCTAGCCATCGTAACTGTATTCTGATCCAAGTCAAACTTCGTTCAGCTAAAGAGAAGAGAGAATGAAGGCCCATGTAAAAACAAATATGGTGATCAACTGATGGACCTGATGGGCCTTCGGTGCCTTCTGCATTTTATGAAACTTAGTTTACGCAGATCTAGTTGTCAAGGGACATGTGATAGAGCTGGGAAATGACCTAATGATGCATGACACTTGTCCTTAAGCAAAGATGGCCATCTTGTTCATAGGTCACCTTTGGAAGGTGTATGTTTAAATGATGGTTGCTCTTTCAAGTTTGAGGTATTGCATACAAAAATGTGTCAATATCTTATAAATGTAGATGTGGATGGCGTGGAAAAGAATCTCTGAGGTAGCTTTGTGAACTATCAAAGGTTTGAGAACCTTTAAAGACCAGAAGTGAATTGTTTGGATGTCCCTGCACTGGATCCAGCTCACACCAAAATGAGAGAATTAAGTCCATTCAGAATCCTTCTGGTCAGGTGAGACATTCTGCTGGGGAACCAAAAGTTAAACTCCATCACGTTAAGATCTGCGTTAAGAAGTGGAATGGAGAGCGCTATGTGATTGACTTTAAGAGGTGATTTGTCAGTGCTTTTCCCAGATTTAAGGTCTAGCACTGATCCTGGTTCCCATGGATTATTATTATTAGTTCTTAGAAATTGTACCCTAATGGGAAGAGCAAAGCTGAAAAAGACAATTATAACCTAAAAAGCCTTAAGTGTGATTGAAAATTACATCTTTTGTCATGCATTTTGTTAACTACACTTCTTGAAAGTCCTATTTGTGCCAATTGCCATTTATAGCAGGGTTTTTCAGTTCCGCTCCTGGAGGGCTGGTGCCTAGGCCAGTCTGGTGATTTCTCTGCTCAAATACTTTTACTACACCTGGCAATTAACAAATGAGTAAATCAAAGTTTGAGCAGGAAATTGCTAAACTGTGCTGGAAACCAGCCCTCCAGAACAGTAACTGAAGAACCCTGGTTTACAGTAAAGAATTTCATCATAGAATTTCAAATCATAGATAAAAAATCATAGATAAAAAAGATAAGCGTGTGAGAGAGAGAGATACCTGTGGAGATGTCGCTGTGGCTCCTGCCTCCAGTATACTCTCAGCAGTAGCACAAGTCTGTGAGAAGAGCTGGCTCTGTATTGGATTAGACCCTGCCCTGCTGGCCAATCCTCTTCTAAGTGCCAGGTCATGACCTGAGTTTGTTTGTCATCCATCTTGCCCTTGAGCTTTTGTATCATTGTCACTACATGGAGGATATAAGGTCCCATACTCTGGCAGGTTCACAATCTGTGTGAACTATATTCCCTATTTTTCATGGTTTGTCTCTCCTATGTTATTTGCCATAGCTATGTTGATGAGCTGGGATGTGGAAATCCTTAACAGCTCCAGTATTCAAGTAACTGCTTTCCTGAGATTGTCCTCTTAACTACAGCAGACACCAATCAGGGATTATTAGTCCGAATGTCCAAGCCAGTCAGGACACCAGGCTTGAAATCAATATGAAAGTGGCATTGCAGGGTGAAATGGAAGGGCATTTAGGACCTGGGTCATTATATCATTGTAGTGGCCGTTGCTGTCCCACATTTTTGATGCCATAAAAGTTATGTGAAAATCTAAAAATAAAAGTAAACCACAGAAAGTTGATGGTGATGTTCTCCAATTAACCCACAAAAAATGACAATTATTCTTTTTGAATTTTTAGTTTTGCATAAAACACCATAGGGTGGCACGGTGGCGCAGTGGGTAGCGCTGTCGCCTCACAGCAAGAAGGGCCTGGGTTCGATTCCCAGCCGGTCGACCAGGGTCATTTCTGTGTGGAGTTTGCATGTTCTCCCCGTGTCTGCGTGGGTTTCCTCCGGGTACTCTGGTTTCCTTCCACAGTGCAAAGACATGCAGTCAGGCCAATTGGAAATGCTGAATTGCCCCTAGGTGTGAATGTGTGTGTGTGATTGTATATGTATGTATGTCTGTCTGTCTGCCCTGCGATGGACTGGCGACCTGTCCAGGGTGTATCCTGCCTTCCGCCCAATGACAGCTGGGATAGGCTCCAGCACCCCACCGCGACCCAGAAGGATAAGTGGTTTAGATGATGTATGTATGTATGTATAAAACACCATGAACAGCATGTCACTCCAGTGACTTGACAGATGTTTAAGTATTATTTGCATGTGAAACAACTTCAATTTTTGTTTTTTTAGTTTGAATCAGTGTAAAGAGTTAAAATTGTTTCCTCTGTTCCATATTATATTAAATATTTTAAACAATTTACCTTTTGATTGTTCAATACAGTTTTTTTTCAGTGATGGAAAAAGAACAATCAAGAAGGTCTTTTGGAATTACTCACAGAAAGAATGACTAACTTTGAAAAGTCTATAGCCAGTGAGATCTCTTGGTATATTTCTGATAAATTTGGCTAAAGTCTGAAAACTTCATGCATCACAAAAAGATGAGTGTCCCTGTGGTGTGATGGATTTCAAAACTGAATTAATAATAATTAAAAATACAATACACAATTCTACACAAATAATACACTCCTCCATCAAACTTTACACTTGGCACAGTGCAGTGAGGCAGGTAATGTTCTCCTGGCATTTACCAAACCCAGACTCCTTCATCAGACCTACAGACAGAGAAGCGTGATTTGTCACTCCACAGAATATGTTTCCACTGCTCTAGAGTGCAGTGACGGCGGCTTTACACCCCCCTGCCCCCCGAATTTGTGGCAAAGGTGGCATCTTATGACAGGACCATGTTTAAAGTCACTGAGCTCATCAGTACGACCCATTTTACTGCCAGTGTTTGTCTGTTAAGACTGCATGGCTATGTGCTTAATTTTATCCACCTGTTAGCAATGGGTGCGGCTGAAACACCTGAACTCAATAATTAGAAGTTTTGTCCCAATACTTTTGTCTATATAGTGACCTGTAACATGCTTCCTGAACAAACACCACCACACTGTTTTCAAATCTATGTTGGCTAAAATAAAAAAAATCCATAATAATAGTAATGATAGAAGATATTTTATTTCAAATACAATGCCTATATTGTGAGTACGTGTACATTTGTGTGGATGCCTATGGAAACCCAAAAAAAAACCATTTAGGTTAATGTAATAACATGTATAAAAGTGAAGACTTGGAGTCTATTAGGCACCTCCATTGACTGACTGTGCATTGGCTCACATACAACTCTGCAGAACTGTACAAAAACAGAAGCAATTATATTGCACAGGATGTGCTAAAATTCTTTCTCTATATTTTACAAGTAATAAACAAATAAACAAATATTAGGTAAATAAATAATAAATATGCTAATGCACACCTTTTGCTGAACTAATTAAATTATTTGCATGAATCAAAATTTCAATTTGTAACAAAAAAAGGAGAGAATGCTTTACAGTGAAAAAAAGTGTCAAACATATGATCCATAAATACTTGTTATCATTTTGAAACCTAAAGTATTGCCAGAGGTTTCTCTTCTGTCTTTTTTCAGATGATACAGTAAATCCATTCACATTTTGCTTTGCCTGTGGACAGCATAAGTGTGTATGCTACAGTTGTTTCACAATTAGGAAGAGCTTTCATAATAATCAGTGGTAAGTTAGTATTTTTGAATAAAGGATCAAACTGCAATTAAAGTAAACACAACATGCTATTCAAACAACATGCACAAAACTATAAAATATTTTTATAAACAAACAGACATGCTAAATTAAAGCAGAGATTTTGTATAACGGCCCAAAATTCAGCCTGCTATCATGAAAACGTTTAACTATTCTCAATTATTTGTCATCGCTGAAATCAGGTAAACAATATGTAAATATGTTATCATCGCAAATGTACACTACCATTCAAAAGTTTGGAATCACTTCCCATATCAACAATTTTTTGTTATTTTGTGTACCAAAGAATCTTATACCATTTTTAAATATTATAAAGTATTTGTCAAAAGGTATTTTTAAATGTTTTATTCAATGTTTCAGTAATTTTGTGAACAAAAAGTTAATTAATAATATACTGTAATTATCTATGTACAATATTTTTGGTCAAGATATCTGCCTAGAGATTTGATCTCCACTTCTGAAATATAATGAATTCTGATGCGTGATGAATATCATTCTTTTGCTGATGACACCCAAATCTATGTCCATGTAAAGCCTACTGACCTACTTGTACCTCCAGCTGTTTCAGACTGTCTCCAGGAGGTGAAAACAAAGATGAACAGTAATTTTCTTACAACCCCATTTCAAAAAAAAGTTGGGACACAAAATGTGAATAAAAACAGAATGCAGTGATGTGTAAATCATTTAAAACCTGTATAAAATTGAAAACAGCACAAAGACGACATAGCAAATGCTGAAACCAAGGGCAACAAAAGGTAAAGTTGTGTAATGCTAAAAAACACACCTGATGTAACATCTCACAACTAATTACCTTAATTGGCAACAGGTCAGTAAAATGATTGGGTATAAAAAGAGCATCCCAGAAAGGCGGAGTCTTTCAGAAGATGGGGAGGGGGTCATCACTCTATGAAAGATTAAGTGGGCAAATAGTGTAACAATTCAAAAATAATGTTTCTCAAAGTAAAATAGCAAAGAACGTGGGAATTTCATCATCTACGGCACGTAATATCATAGAAAATCTCTGTCTGCAAGTGCCAAAAACCAATTTTGGATGGCTGAGATCTTTGGGCCCTTAGACAGCACTGCATTAAAAACAAACACGATTCTGTGGTGCAAATCACTGCACGGGCTCATGAACACTTCTTAAAACCACTGTCTGTGAAAACAGTTTGTCAATGAATCTACAAATGCAAGTTAAAACTCTACCATATGCAGTTCAAAAGCTAGCATCCATGATGGTATGGGGGTGCATTAGTGCACATGACATGGATGACTTACACATCAGTCAAGGCACCATTAACGCTGAATTATACATACAGGTTTTGGATAAACATGCTGACATTCAGACAGCATCTTTTTCAGGGAAAACCTGCTTATTTCAGCAAGACAATGTCAAACCACATTCTGCATGTATTACAACAGCATTGCTCTGCAGTAAAAGAGTCCGGGAGCTAAATTGGCCTCCTGGCAGCCCAGACCTTTCACCCATTGAAAACATTTTGTGCATTATGAAACGGAACATATGACAAAGGAGGCCCTGGACTGTTGAGCAACTTAAATCCTATATTAAGAATGAGAAAACATTTCACTTTCAAAACTTCAGCAACTGGACTCCGCAGTTGCCAGACACTTACAGTGTTACAAGTGTTGTTAAAATAAAACGTGATGCAGCACAGTGGTAAATATGTCCCACATAGGGTTTATATATATATAAATCAGGTTTAAATGATTTACACATCATTGCATTGTGTTTTTAATAACATTTTACACAGCGTCCCAACTTTTTTGGAAAGTGGGCTGTACGTTTAATAGCAAAACGACAGAGGCTATGCCTCTGGGTTTTCCCACATCTCATAGAAGCAGTGATTTCCACAGGTATTTTAATGGAACCACCCTACATGCTGCTAGTGTAGTTTGGAACCTTTGGGATTTTATTTGATCCTTGTCTCTCACTTCAACCACACATAAATAGTATTACTACAACAATGTTTTCTTACCTTAGAAACATTGTCCGTCTCAGCTGTATCATCAGCTGAAAAGCTTTTACATGCATTTGTTCTTTTTTCGCTTGGACTACTGAAATGACCTCTTGTTTGTACTTTTGCTGTGATTTTAATGATTCTACATTTTACAATTGTGACAACACTGTAAAAATGATTAGAATTGTATTGTTTTTCTTTTAAATTTTTTACAGTGTCCTTGGGTGCTCTAAACATTTGAAAATAAAATACTTTATTTTTATTATAATTACTAATTCTCTGAACCTGGAATGTTGCACAGGATGAGCATATTAGAACAATTTTATTCTTATCTACAACCACTGTTTTTTTAAATGGTTGAAAACGATGTGATTCCAAACTTTTAAACAGTATTTACAGGATAAATGTGCTTTGCAGGGTTTAACCCTAAAGATTGTCTCTTATTTCAGTATACTCCACCATACTGAACGCTTGCTCGGCCAGGTTTAACAACAACGGTGCAATATCGCGTTCTTCATGAAGTCCAGCCCAGTCATGCTATACCACCGTCGTGTTTCGGCATTTCTTAATTATATTCTACTTCATGTTTTCAAGCGTATCCTAAATCTGTCCTTCCGTAAAAAAACGGTCAATCAGATATTTTGCATTTAGTTAAAGGCACATTATGACCTGAGTAATGTGATTAAACATAACAATAATTTAACTTCAATACACATCCATAACAACCAGGTAAAAAGAATATTTGTCTTTTGTCTTTATGTTCTATCTATATTTTATAATTTGGATTTACAGTAACTTCTTACAAAGCTGAGGGATACTGGCTTTATGACGTCTCTGTACTAATGTATAAAAATGTTCCTATGGCGCTGACGTCTTCACTCCATAAACTGGAATGACAGCCATGGTTTTCTTGTTGCTGCCACGATGTGTGTGCTTGGTCGCACTAGTACAAACTAGAACAAACTCTAAAAGGTGGTGGGGCAAAATAAAACAAAAACAAAAACAAAACAAACAAAAATAAACTGCAACCAGGTCACTGACTGAGTAACTAAAACTAGCTTTCATGTCTTGTTAATAACATGTCTCTATAAACCTAATCATTAAAATTTTAGTTTCTATTTCATTTGGTTTGGTTGGTTTCACACTGCAACTACTAAAGTAGATCAAATTACATACAGGGGATGTTCATTTATTGGTCAAGAGTTTTGCAGAGACGCGATCACTAACATGAAAATAGAAAAATAGAAACAGATAAAATAATATAGAAATGCCTAATATCTTTGTGTATAACAAAACAAAGGAATAACAATATACTTTATTTGATATCTGCTTCTTTTTAGGTTTACCAATTTGAATGTACCAAATCAGGAAAAAAAATGTTCTGCAATGCCTAAATTTTATTTTATTGCCCATCTGCCCTTATTAACAGCAGTTCATGCTGCAGGAACTATATGACAGTCTGTAAAGAGTAAAACGTTAAAAAAGGCAAATTATATGGACAGTACAGCACTGATGTGCACTGAGAATAGCACACTCTGATGTTGAATTAGTTTGGTATAGACCATTGTAAAGACGCAGTGAACTCAAGCAGGGGTTACCAGTCCAAAGTTCAGTTCTTTGGTATGGCCCTGAATACGGGTGTTCACACGTCAAACTGAATTAAAGAAAACGTTCGATAGGTCCATGTTAAACAAGGTAGGTGCGAAAGCGACCTTTGTATAGCAAAGTAGCAGTAATAAATATTAAAACTGACATTTAATGAATTCACATTGCGTAGTAACATAAACTTTGACCCAGTGCATTAGTTTGTATTTCGCAGTAAAATGTTTTTTACCAGATCAGTGAGCTGCAGCTCCTCTCACTGAACATGAACTCATGAAGGATTTACTGTCTAGGAAATGTCCCACCTCCGAGCTGAAACGGAGATTTTGACTGGTTCTGCTAATGAGTTTGACTCTCTGTTTGTGTCAGTCAGCGCTCCATGTAGTTTAGTTTCTTTTTGATGTATGCGTCCTGAACTCAATCAAAAAGATGTGAGTCGTCGCTCCAGTACTTTGAAAAGTGGTGGGTCAAATGCCCACCTGCCCACATGGTTCTGGTGGCCATGTACTAGTACCTTACTCAAAGCCCACACTTAGATAAGTGTTCACTGGTGTCTGGCAAACTGGGGACAATTCTACGCAGACAAGAAGCTCTACAATGTGTCAGCTGTCAGTTGGCAGGAGGAAGCCTTGGTTCGATCTTTAGAGACAATTCGTACAGAGTGTCCTCATCCATAACAAAGGTTTTGTCCAGCAGGAACTGTGTCACCTGGTCAGAAAAGGAAAGAGGATGATTGTGAACTTCATGAAGATTACTTAATCTCATCATCTCAGGTGTTACGCACAAAATGTTTGCTATAGATCAAATGTTTATTCTAAGAATGCACGATTAAAAGATTTTTAAAAATTTTTTCAGTTAGCCCACACAGTGTGAACTTTGGTTTAGAAACAGGCAATCAAAAACTGGCTGTAAAGAAATCAGAATTGGAATCACCATAAAAATTCATGATCGATGCATCCCTAGTTTATTCATATTAAAGAGTAACATAGATAACTCCACAGAAAAAAAGCTATAATCACCATTAGCCAAGACTGTAATAGCGGTATCACCAGTTTTACTGAATAGTTGAAATAAAAGCTCGGAACCAGACCAACCTCTTCTGTGACAAAGACTGAAGACCACTGCTCTAACCTCTTTTACTCCCAACTGCTAAACTGAAGTACCTTGGGTTGGTGTTCTATCCTGTAGGGAGCCTGCTGGAACTGCCGTATCTCTCTTATGATGTGAGAAATCTGCAGGACACAACCAAAGAGCACCCAGATAGACAGATTTTTATTAGTGTCACAAGTGTCCACAAACTTGTGCAGTGCAAAAATGTGATCTTGATTAAACTTGAAAATATACACTATGGGTCCAAAAGTTTGTAGACACCTGCTCTTTGCAACAGCTGTAAGTTAGTTAACATGTAGGCTAGTCATAGTGTAAGTTCAGGTTTATGCATCAAAAATCATAACTGGCTGGACCAAATAAACTAGTTTTTATGTTGAACTTAGTAGTTACAAAATATTTACACCTAATTCCAAATGTGAAGCTCTACACAACATTAACATGAACAAAGCCTAAACATGAAGCACCCACAGCTCCAGTGTTCTCTGAGACTCAGCAGTTGCCAAAAAGTCCAAACTGAGGCTGCTGCTGGGTCAGATAGCCAGAAACTGTTGTTTCACAAACAACATACTTAGTTGTTGCAAGGAAATATTAAATAAACTGACAATGGCTATAGATTTAGTTTTATTCAGTTCAACCTGTACACATCATGGTCTATACAGGATATTTTTGCAATGAAAAAAGTCAGCACAAGCTGCCATTCCATTGCTTGCTGTCACGGTAGTGCGTTTATACTGTAACTTCTGAACATGTAATCGTCATGCAAAAGCGACATATTAGTTAGATGTTACTAGACGTGACAAGGTTTTGTGCTGCAAATTTAGTTAAAGGATAGTGTAAAACTAGTGCTAACTAAGACTTTATACACAAACTTAAGTACAAAGTTGCACAAAACTATGCACAAAGCTCCCGGTATGCTCCTTTTTGTTTTTTTATAAAAACCAGACACACAACGACCATCTGCGTATGTAAAGGACATCTCTGCACTAGATGTTTGAATATTACCACAAGAGCATTAATGAGGCAAAGTCAGGTGATGTTGTCTTGGTTCAAGAGCATTAATGAGGCAAAGTCAGGTGATGTTGTTCTTGGTTCATGATGTAGTTTTGGATCACCAAAGCCACTTCAACTCATCCTAAAGGTGCTGCTTCATTGCTTCAGATTACAAAGTCCTGCTGCTACACTGCCCAGTGGTGCGGTTTACCCACTGAGCGTAATGTCCTTAGGCTAACATTAGGCTGTGCCAGAGCATCCTATTCTAAAGACAGTGCTTTTTTCATTGGATATTATACAGACTGTGTGTGCAATAAGAATGGCTGTGTTGGTGATCGGTGCACCTTAAAGTAGTTGCATAAACTAATTACAAGGGGTGTCAGGATACTTTTGGACAAAGAGTGTATAAGGGTTAATGTTCTATGTGAAAAAAAATATGACTTAGGCCTACCATTCTCATTTTAGAGAAATTAACAAGCCCTTCCTCTGTGAAGTTGGGGGTACCCTCCTCAATAAATGCCAAGTCTGTTAAGTACATTCCCAGATAGGGTACACATGGTGGATTGCAACTGTGAGCAAAACATATCATGAACATAAAATATCACACCTTTCTGGTACTTCTAATAAAAAAAAAAATCTGTATAAGATCCAAACTTACTTTTTTAGGGTTTCCCTCAAGTTTTTAAATCTCCCTTCAGATGATACTATCTTCTGCAGTCTGTCCATAAGTGCTTTTGTCTAACAGGGAAAAAATCCTTTGTCTTAAAAGGCCTGTGTTCCATTCATTTTAGAACAAATCAGTTATCCAAGATCAAAATCTATAAACCACTATGCACAGAGTGAGTTTTTCACCAATAGCATAAAGTGCACTACAAGCGTGTAAAAACTGATTGACATGACCCACCTGCTTGCAGACCTTAGCCCAGGTCTTTTTTAGTCTGTAGATGGCACTGCGATTGAGAGCAGAGGTAATCTCCAGCACCCCATTGTAATTGTTGAGGCAGCGACAGATATCGGCCACTGCCAGCCATTTTTCAATCGAGCTGGCCCTGGAGCTCACATCCGTGTGGGTCATGATCTGAGAAGCTACCAGGTTACTCATCTAGAGAGAGAAAAGGATGATCAATCAAATTAGTTTAAAACTACAGAAGATGACTCCAGGTTTATGCTATTGCGTTTGTTTCTTATGCTTGCTTACATCATTGAAGTGCTGGCTGGTCTTCATGATGTATGGAGTTTTCTCATTTTTGTCTACTTTCATCCAACCTTGACCAAGAAACTCCCTGTTGAAAGCCACAGGTATACAAGGATAGTTACATTTTTGGGAAGAGTCCATAAGATCATTTATGGTTTTGGTCATCAAGCAGCCATCTAAATCCTTTCAACTGGTAGTGACATATAGACAGGCAAATGAAAGATTTAACTCTCTAGTTCCAACCTTTTCACTAGTCACTAAAGTATCTTATGGAAGCCCATTTCTGCCACAAAAAAAAAGTAAAAAAAACTTTAGTAAGCCATAAAATATATTAATTAATATCTCATAACAATGAGAAAGTTTCTCATAATAAGGAGTTACTATCTCACTTATGACTTATTATCTCATTTCAAATGACAAGATACTATACCACTATTCTTATGAGACATTAAATCATGAATATAATTTGGAATCCAATTTATTTATTAAGTGGCAGAAACCAGCTTTCACAGCATCAGACCCTGGCAGGATCTACTGAAGGATACTTACTCATAAGGAATACTTCTGAATACGATGTGATCAAGCAAGGTGATCTGCTCAGCAAGCTCCATGGCAGAGAGGGACTCAAAACACTCTGTTTTTGGATATTCGGCCTAGAAGCATACATACAAATAAGAGATGATCAAATAGGAGATGTTGGGGAAAACGCCCACTTAAGTTGTATTTAAGTTTAGCATGTACAGGATGCTGAAGCATGAACCTACACACAGTTATGGAAAACAATCTGGAACAGCAGTTTTGTTTTCACAGCACAAAAAAGAAAACCTTGTAAAGGGGCACCTTGCCCCACTATCAGGGCAAGATACCCCCCTACCTGGGGTAAGAAGCACCCCCCTGGTGAATATTGCATCAAAGTTGAACATAATGCATCATTTATGTTAAATGAATTCTAGTCCTTGCATTAAAAACAATGTTAAACAAAGTACAATACAAAAAGATTTTTTTCAAATTAGAATGAGGTCTCTAATAATTTGTATTAGTTAATTCACTTTTAATATGCTATGACAAAAGACAAGTAACAGTAAAACAGGTTTTTTATGCAATAGTTATTGCCTTTCTGATAAAACTCTAAATTATAATTTAGAGCAACACTAAAGGAGGTGTTTATCTGGCAAGGACTTCTTGGTCCAAAGGTCATTTAAGAGGAATTTCAGAATTTTGAAACCAGCTGCACTCCCCTATAACAACACATTAAAAAAAAAACCTTACATACAAAACATACATACATATTGTTCAAACACACGAAAGATGATCTCAGGAATCCCGCCATCCAGACAAAATTTCAGAATTAGAGCATATCCATTCAGTAAATGTGGTGAGATTAGGTTAGCTGCTATAACTTGATAAGGAGAATAAATAAGGGGGGGACATCTTACCCTGGGGTCTTTTCCTCCCCAAGTTACCCTACATTAAACACAAAGACACTATATATTCTAAATTGTCTGCAATAATTACTTGTTTATGAACTGTGACATAGCTTTAAGTATTACACCAGTTACTAGAGTTAGCAGGACTAACAGAGCAGCTCAATAATCAGAAGCGATTATTTGACTAATCTAATATACAGTACAACCAAGTAAGTCAAAGATGCGTGTAGGAGTGAAGTAGTGGACAGGTTTTCTGTTCCACAATTCAAGGACAAATCAAATAAACAGAGACTGATTATACTCTCTGCTCATTACTACACCTCTCAAATAGCTTTCAGTGTGAAGAACACATACTTTGATGCTTGACACCAATGCTTACCATTTGGAGAATATCTTCGATTCTAAGCTGGGAGTCATCTTGTTCTTCTTGAGAAAGGGCACTGTAGTGGAAAAGAAGAGCAGTGTATTAGACAGACTTCATGTCACGCCTTGTACGAACTCACAGACTGAAATGGACTTCATTTCCCAAGCTCCCTTGGGAGATCACGTGACTAGGAACTTCCCTTCGGAATCGGAGTCCAACGTGGACTCCATTACCCAAGAGACACATGGGGGTCATGTGACTCCCGACACATTCTCACACGCCTGTCAGAGATCTCAGTCTCCTGAGTACTAACTGGATCCACCTGTGTGCCTAAATCATGTATTTAGCTAGAGCAGTATAATAGCCCGGGCTTTAGCTGGTATCAGTGTGAGGTATTGCTTCCCTGAGAACATAATGAGTGTTATTTCTGATTGCATGATTCTGTTTTTGACCATTGCTTCATTTTTGACTCTGCCTTTTACCTGTTCCCTTGTGTACTGTTGCCTGGTATTTTGCATCTGTGTTTTGACTATTTTTGCCTGCCTTTTTGACCTCGTCCTTTGTCTTGCCCTATTGTTTTGTTCGCCTTGTGATATGATCACTTGCGTGATCTTTTTGCACTTCTCGGTTTTGACCCACGCCTGTGTTTTGACTACGTTTTTGCCTAGTGTTAATAAAACCCATCTTGTCAGTTTTATCCGCACGCGTCTGGATTCTGCTGAACGGTTACACTTCAGTCATTATTCTGTATGGAATAAACACTACACAACCAATCTGGGCCACAGACCCTCTCTGTTTGGCTGTGTAATAGATGACACAATATTTCCAACCCTGTGCACTGCAAGTCTTTCTTTAGATTAAAGCTCTAACTTATGACTTATGATCTAGTCATCTTATTTACCTTGCTGCCTTGACTCTTTAAAACTGATTTAAAAACGTAGCTATTTCTGCTTTATTCTGCCCTTCACAATTCTGCCGTTGTTGCATTTATGTGACATGTAAAGAACGTGATCTTACAAAGCTGAAAATGAAAAGATTTATATTTACTTTGTCTCAAAAACTACACAAACACATAAATAAGAATATAGGTCACACATCATGTTTTATCATTGATCTGAGTCAATAATAAGTGCTTACAGATTCGGCCTGCACTTTGAACAAGCTTGAACACTCACTCAAAAAAATCACAGAACAACAAGCAATACATGAAGATTGGTGTATTTTTATACAGTGATAGAAACACATTAGCACACAGAGATGGATCACCAACTTTTGGTTCAATAAAGTTAAAATGCCAATACTTGACTATGTAGAAAAGCCTGAAACCAGTAATGTTAATATTATTGGTATATTAATTGTTAGAGCAAACTGAAATTTGGGTTATTGATATGCAGACTACAGTCAGTAACTGTACACCTACAAAGTGCACCTATATGGTAGATAAAATGGAAAATGAGTGTAGGTATGAGGTAGGCATACAGTGCATACCGCATATGAGTGCATAGGTCTATGGCAAGGGTGAAAAGACCAAACCTTAGAATGTTGGCTGTGGCTTTCCTCTCCTGAGGCAGCAGGTCAGGATCTCTCAGCACCTCCTCCAGCAGAGTAATCACCCCAGTCTTCAGCTCACCATTCATATCAAAGTCCTGTGCGGCACACCAACAGACCCAAACTTTACATCATAGCCATTAACATGAACTTTAATAAGTTGACATGTCTAATGGAAGCGAATATTCTCAGCAAACAAATCATCCATTTCCGGATGAACACAGCAGGATAGCTTAAGCACAGGAATAATGTCTAGAGGAAGACAAGGACCTCCCTCTGGGCTTCATCCCACCAGTAACTTGCTAAGAAGTACTGTGTCATGTCCTTCCCTAGCCCTGACACGTTCAGACACTGGAGTTAACAGTACAGAGCCCCAGGGGGGCCTGCTGACATTTCACTGCTGTCATTACCATGCATGGCATAGAGCTGAAAAGCAGAGTAAGTCTGACAGTGGCTACCATATGGAGGTGTGGGGCTACTCAGTGTATGAGCTGGTTACAGTATCCCAACAATGAGCCAGGAATTAGCTCATGAATAATGGAATATGGATAACCACTACTCTTTTGAGAGATTTCTGTGTAGCCTTAAAGCAATCCTGACTTGTTCTTAAAGGCATAATGAGTAATTGATTAATCCGTTGGTTTATATATATTTATGATACAAATTGCTATGGTTTTATATTACTATAACTGCTGTATACTGCTGTAAAATATTTGATATACACACATGCTGATATGTCCACACACAGGTTTGATTCTGCATTATTCTGCCAAGCAATTAAAACTATTAAAGCATTATGTTGCTTGGCAATCACAGTCTGCTGTTTAAAAAACTACATTGCTTGGCATAAGAATTATTTACTGAGATCATAATTAATTAATAAATAATTTATGAAATGTTTGGATTTCATTGCCATCAAGGCTGTGCTTTTTTTAAAATCCTAAAATCACTGTAAAGTATGCTTTTCGTGTATTATTGCTTTAATATATACCCACTGACTGAAGTGTAACTACTGCAGTCCACTGTCATTCAAAATAGGAGGGTTCTTGTGTGTTATATTACAGACTGTTGGAATGTTCATTCAGAATCTGTTAACTTTCCTGAAAGGAAATGTAATTAACTCTTTTATACTCTGTGAGGTGAGCTGGAGCAAAACTGTGGGCTATCTGATAAGAAGAAGAACTGAAATATGGAAGATGGAGCTGATGCATCAAACCTGTGAGTGCTTGGAAACCCAGTGGCGCAGAACATTGAGCACCCTATTTGTGGCGGCCCTGCGAATGAGGAACTCCTTGTCGTATGATTTCTCCAGGTTGGTGAAACCTAGCAAGAGCGAATAATACAGCAGCTTTAACTTTAGCACACCACATGTTGTATTTATAAAGGTTTCTATGAAAGCCAGCCACCCTTCAAGGCCTTGTCATGTCGGACAATGGCCTGGTGGGGGATGTGTAACAGAGCAGTGGGAAGCTGTCCGAGTGCATCAACGACGTCTGACCTTGCGGGCCGCTGTGTCCAGCTGCAGCTGTGGCAATGGCAAAGGCGGAGGCGGGGGACATGGTGCAGCGTGAATTCTCAGTGGACTGACCTATCAGATCAATCACAGCGGGGGAGAGGGGTGACATTAAACAGGGCAACTTTCAAAGACCTTCTATGAACACATACTCATAACTGATCAGGATATTAGCTGCATTTACAGATGTAAGTGGTTCAATATTAGCCTGACTTAGTCTACTAGTCTAACTAAGCTTTGTTCATGTAAACAGCATGCTATGATTGTCATAGTCTGACGAAAGTCTTAGTTGATCTAAGCTTCAGGCTAATACTGTCCAGAAGTAGAATTAGAAATGTAAACTTCTAGATCGCTCCTCTAACTTCGACACAGAAGCTGCTGTAACATTTTGCTGCTTTTTCTGTAGTTCTGTGTGTTTGATGACACCAAAATGAAGTGACAAAAAGTGAAAGGGCTGCTTTTTTGCGGAGATGAAAAATTCCCAGATCTCAAACCAATCAAGGATCTGTGGAATATGTTGGAACAAGTCCGATCTATGACAGCTCCACCTCACAACTAACAGGACTTTTAGAATCTGCTAAGGCCTTGGGGTCTTGTAGAGTCTGTGAGTCAGTGGGTCAAAGCTGCTTGTTGCTGTCAACAGTAGATTAGGCAGATGGTCATGATGTTTTGTCTCATCACTGTATATTAACATGGAAAAATACTTTCTTAAAGAAAAACACCTCGCAATCCCTAAATACATTACGAGCAACCCATGTCCTCAACCCACCCCACCTCAGCTTTTTTTTTCAGATAAGTGGCAAAGTGTGAAAATTATTTTGTTATTGTCAACAAAATGTTTTGACAATTTTACATTATTACAGCAGTTTGCAGACCAATTTATTTTAGATATGTCTAAATGTCTCCAGAAGTCTTGTAATCAGTGAATTTAGCTACTTCAAGGTGCATAGAGATACATCCACACAGCCTGTATAATCTCCAATTTGTGAGTTCAGACCATGACTTCAACATGTGGTGGTAGTATGAGGGAAGACTGATTGAGGGAGGGGGAGAACTCTGAGAACTTGGACTGGAGTTCTGGGCAGCTTCGGCCTCATAGCTGTAGTAGGACTGATGCAGGACTGAGGAACGGGGAGGAGATGGGGTGGCGGCAGGGATTGCAAACACTTGGCCAGGATGTGAATTTATAGGGCGTTAGATGGAAAGAAGGAGGGTTTTCAGCCTTGCTCCTCCCCCAAAAACGTCAGTTATAACATAACTACATCAAAAAAGTATTGCCAACAATATCGGACAATTTGGAGCAGCTACAGATGAGTCTGAAGTCACCCTGCACGATGCCAAGCATCAGCTACAGGGGTATAAAACTCCCCACTGGGCTGTGAAGCAGCAGAACTGCATTCTCTGGAGTGATGGAGCTCCCCTTTGGGATAAGTTGGAGTGGCGATTCTGATCCAGATCTAATCAGATCTAATCAGTTCATCTCACTAATGCTCTTGTGGCTGAATGCAATCAAATATTCATAGCAAATCTGCAACATCTAGTGTAAAGCCTTCCCAGAACAGACTGTTACTAAAAAGGGACTTAATATTATTATTATTATTATTAATAAGAATGTTGGATGAGCAGGTGTTTACAAATTTTTAAACATACAGTGCATAAGGGCCAGGTCGCTAACAGCCAGAGTGATATGTGCAAATGGTTATGGATACCACCATGCATTGAATGTAAATATTAAGGAGTAATGTTAAATCCCGTACCTCCTGCCTGTCTGTAACGAAGGTGCCGAGGAGTGGATGGCGAGCGGCATGGGGACATGTCTCCCGCCTCAACAGAAGTGGGTGTTTCTGGGATGAACTTGTCCAATGACACAGACTCTAAGACAGCTGTCAGGACACAAAATATACTGATTAATTTAAATCATCTTCTGTGACATTAAAGTGGTTCAAGGTAACTGAGTATCATGACATCACAACATTTAAAACTTGTTGACTGCACTGCTGATTGACACATTTCCCAATGTTTAAATGTTGTAAGAAATGGTTTACACTAGTGTAGTCACTCTGGAAAATAAGGATTAGGTAAAAAGTTTTAAAGAATGCCATAGCAGCAAGTCATAGTTTGTGAGCTAAGGAAGCTTGAGTAAACAAGAATATGTTATATATGTGTCCTCTTGGTGGCAGCAGAGCAAATGGCTTATTTGAGCGTACAATGTCCTAAAGGAATATTTCACCCACTAACTAATGCCCATTGCTTCACCCATTGTTAATAGGTGATTATAATTATCAGGTACCAGTTAACATACATTTGTATGCAAAAGGTTCTCAAATTACATGTTTTGTTGATTTTGTAAGTGAAAATAAGTTAACACACCCTATAAAAGGAACAAAGTAACTGGAAAACTTGGAAAAAAATAAAGCATAAAATCTAAAATATGCCTTAAATGTGCCACGTTTATGTTGTATTTTTTTCCAATAGCTTTTAATGAATCAAATAAACAGTAATTGTGCATTTAAATGTGCTGTTGTGTGTTTTCTGTAGAAGATGTGTTCCTAATTTCACTTAGAACATCAACAAAAATCCTTTAATCACTCAAGGAATCCACCAATTCACCAATTAAATCAATCAGTTTTTACCAATTCAGTACAAAAATACAGGAACTTCACCAGGGAGACACAAAGTGAAAATGAGACACCACTCTCAATGAGTTCAGGTGTTTTAGCCACACCCACTGCCAACAGGTATAAAATCAAGCACATAGCCAAACACTGGCAGTAGAATGGGTCGAACTGAAGAGCTCAGTGACTTCAAATGTATCACTGTCATTGGAGTGATGTATCATGCTTTACTATCTAGTGGTCTGATAAACAAATCTGGGTTTGATGTAGGGCTGCACAATATTGACATAAAATGCAATGTTCAATAAAGCTGACGGATATCACAATGATGATATGTAGCAATAAATTACTATTAAAATAATTTGTCTCAGGCTGGATGTAACGCAAGTTTTTTTTTGGAATGTAATAAATAATAAACAGAAATCTTACTAACCTCTCTTTAAACTCCTCTTTAAAGAAACAGCAAAATATAAAACTACAAAAGCACCATTTGCTTTTCTGTAAAATAATAAGAAATGAAATACTAACAACTACTTACATCAGAACTGCAAGCACATTATTTCTGCACTGAATGGCTGAGAAACAGTCAGCATTACCTTAACAGCTTTTCTATAAGGCTACAAAATCAAATAAATATATATTTTTTTTTATATAGACACACAAGAACAAACACATATTCTTGTTTCATTAGATTTTTTTGTTAAGTTATTCAGTATTGAGGTGTCAAACATGCCAGGTTGTATTTAGTTCACGAATATTGTTGTTATAGTTAAATGGAGTTAGGCACTGTGTTGTTAGTGGGTCACAGAACTCTTATTTTGAAGGACTCTGGAGGGTCGTAAAGTAGCAAGCTTCAGTAGCACAGATGGTTAGCAGAAAAACAGTAGAGCCTGAGCTAGCCCGTGTGCTGCATGTTTCTTCTTTGCTGCCCTCTGTTTTGAGTTAAGGTCTCAGAGCATACGTTTTGTAGTTGACCAAATGGTTAAGTTACAGGCCTCCCGTGTAGGAGAGCAGGGTTCGGTCCCAGCGCAAAGAGGCCATGAATGCCCATGGTTTTGTAATTGGACGTCCGACAAGCTCACACAGATATGACGGTCAGGATACTTTTGGCCACATAGTGTATAATATCAAGACAGTTGAAGGCATTTTCACAATGTCTTCAATGCCACAATTTATGATGCACGCAGAAATACAGGCAATGCCCGCAATATACTCAAAATATATTGTACAAACATACTGGCATTATTTATTGCATTAACAACAACGTTACATTGCCCACCACTGGTTTTAGCTAATGTCTATTGCCTAATTTAAAAGAATGAGAACATAAAAACATAAGAACATTAGTTGTGGTGTAGAACTGCTGCCCTCATTTCATCTCAATCATGACAACACCGGAAGGAAGAAAGCCACTTAGACAGCCACTGCCAATCTGAAAAGCTTAGTAAGGGTCCTCTACATTTAATTACATGTCATTTTCCTCTCAGGACGCAGGGGTGCACAAGCCTTCACACCACGCTAGCCCCCAGAAGAGCCCCTCTCTTCAGCCTAAAAAAAAAAAAGCTGTTTGTAAGGATACGTTCTGTAGCTTGTACATCCCCTCGAAGAGCTGCTCTCCAAAAATACCTCAGACACACTGACAATGACCCTTCTCAAGTAAACTCTAACCTCCCCATTACTTTGCTTTGTTTGTTTCCAATACGCATAGCAGTTCTTAACTTCACATCATTTTTCATGTTCAATTTCATAACGTTGAAGAGAATACGGTCTGACTGATGTATCGGTATCAACAAAGATATCACTGTTAACCTGTTTGTTTTTTGGTTAGCAGAATTCAAAAACTTGCAACATCTCACCGATATATGGCTGTGCCACTGGGGAATCCAAAATGAGTAACCCCCTGTTCAACTATATGAAAGCAGTACATGCTGAACTGATGAATCTCATCATAGTTAGTATTACCAAAACATGTATCCAAACCTAACTTGTAACATGAGAATATCATGTTATAACTTAAAAAAATATGAAGAGAGCTAATGAAAACCAAGAAAGATCAGAGTTAATGAACAGAAAATAAAGCAGCAAAGAAATCAGTTGCTCCACCTCAAGTTACTCTAACTACTAAAACTATATATTTAAAAAGTAAAAGAGAAATGTAATAATGTTGAACAATATTATCAGTTATAAGAATTTTTAGCCCACCAAAATTAGTATTGGTCACCGAATTTTCATATCTTATTTGGATTTTATATAAACCTTATCTAACCTAAAGTAGGGATGCGTGAATGCCAGCCAATAAAGTGGATAAGCATGTGGAATTGGAGCTTTCTATGTGCTGCCATGTTTTCTTCCACTACATAAAAGAAGCACTATGCACCTGCACACTGCCTTTATAGCTGGACGCACTGTGTCATTTTCTGAGCTAGCGTGCACACACATTTTGAACAGAATTTGATTGATTTGATCAGATTAGTAATAAAAGGTGTATATTCATACTTACAGGAATTCAAGCTAAATAAAACACAATAAACTTCAAACAAAATAAAAATGTACAAATTTCCAGCTGTGTTACACTCGCATTCTCTACAACAGCAACAGCTGTCTTGGTTGCAAAAAATGACTAAACATTTTGCCCACCAGTCCACTAAACTTTTTTGCCCACCAGCCCACTAAACTTTTTTGCCCACCAGCCAACTTCCCTGATTATCAAACATGGCTCCTTTTTCACGTTTCGGTAACCTCATCTTAATTATCTGAATAGCCCATTAAAATGTAATACTATATCTGTGGGTTGGCCGATTGATGACTGTGAACTGCTGTGCTGTGTTTGGGACAGAGAAGGGTTAGACTTGCACTTTAGAGACTTGAGACCCTCACATGAAGTGATCTCTGAATCATACTGGGAGCTGAGTATATTGTCAACCCCCTTGTTTAAAGCGTTCTTTCTTAACAATGTATACTCTTGGTTTTCTGCTCTGTTTTGGGTGTTGACTATGCATAGCAACAGGCACTCTAGAGTCAGTAATTATATATCTATGAAATGCACCTACATGTCAGGTGTACTTTATAAAATGATCAATGAGCTAAGTAACCTAATAATGATGCCTAACAAATCGGCAACTCAGTGTTCATTGACACGATTCAGGATCAGACTCACCCCGACGAATGCTCCTCCTTAGCTTGCCACAGAAGGCGTCGATGCGTGGCAGTTCGCCCCCCTCCTCCGGTGTAGTGGGGGCCAGCTCAGGTGAGCTTGGGCCCCGGCTCAGGTCTAGGGGGGCCTTTGTGCATGTGGGTGGAGGGGAAGAGATTACTGGGTTATAGGTGGAAGTGGGACTGCTGGCTGCAGAGGACGAGGAGGCAGCTGACAGGTCCAAAGCTACGGTCTTCCCCCCTCCCACGGGGGAGCTGAGCGAGAGCTTGCGGGAGTGCACAGGTGAGGAGGTGCGGGAGGGGATGGAAAGGGGTGGGGGTGAGGAAAACTTGCGTGACAGTCGGGGGGACTTGTTGTTCAGGTGCTCGCTGCCCCAGGGGCCCTGGTTAGTGGCAAAGAAGAGCTCAAGAGACCTGAGGGAAAAGAAGTAGGGAGAGAGTGAGGGAGAAAGAGAGAACGAAAGACAGAGATAAGAATAAATGCACAGTGCAGGAACACAATGCATATTCAGAACTGCACTGAAACAAAAAAGGGGCAGCATTTTTTCCAATAACAGGTCATAACTTCTAAAACCTGTGCTGGGGCATGGTTTATCATTTCCCAACACTCAGATTGAAAGGTATGGTTTTGCTGTGATGGGGTGAGACACAATTGAGATAACAGTTCAGATATGGTACAGAAGATACAGGAGGAGAAGAAGTAGGAGGAGAAGGCTAAACAGATATGCACAATGTGTTTACTTGGACTGGTCCAGGGCGAGCCTTGTGATCTTCAGACTGTAGTCTGGACAGATGGAGGAGATGGACAAACGATCAGATGAGTGGTACTGAATCCTGTGAGTGACAGTGAGAGTGGAGCAGGAAGGAAGGGCGGAGGGTCTGGGTTAGGGTCTACTGTGCTGTACACATTGCTAATACACTTCTAAGGACACATATGTATACCTGGTTTAATTTAAATTAATTTAATTTTACCTTTGTTCACTGCACCATGCACTAGGGCATCACAATGGACAAACTATTATATTGCAGTAATACATCTACTTATTGTGATGGCACTATACCTATATGTAGTTTAAACAAATCAGTGAACCCTTGTTAGGCTACAAAAAAACAAAAACAAAACAGGGTTCATTTGCTTTTTGCAGCCTTCTGTGTTATCAGTATTGCCAACTGGAATGATCTAGATCTTTACATAAATGGCTCATTAAGCTGGAGGAGATTCAGCACCAGTGTGGATTAAGTAGTCAATCCATGGACCCTGTTTATAGATATGCTTGTACATTGTATGTGGATGTTATCACGTTTGCATGTGTTCAGTAATTGTCTAGTAAATCTGGGCTTGAGAGTTTGGGTCATGCAACATAATTATTTAAACTAAATCAATAACTGAGAGCCTAGAAGAGAAAAGATTCTGTATTTTAGACTGGTAGAATGCTGACCTCAGTCCTTCTGTGGTTGAGGTAAAGGCGAGCACTGAAGCAAGACATGGCAGAAAAATACATGAACTGAAACAGGTTGATGTAGAGGAACAGTTTAAAATACCTCTTACCTGCTGCACAAGACTGATCAGAAGCTATAAAAAGTGTTGTTTGAGGTTATTGTCAGTAAAGGAGGTTTCACTAGTTACTAATTATAAGTGTCCACACATTTTTCCATTAGTGACTTTTTGTTTACTATTTCAACTATTTGTTGAATAAAGATATGGTTTTTGACATATTATTATGACTTAGATGAAGGTGCCACTGGAAGAGCCACCTATATATAAATACAAATTATTCAAAAAATTCACAATTTTTAAATGTGGTTGGTTCAAACTTTGCATACCGGTATAATAAACTGAAATAATAATAGTTTTATTCAACTGAAATAAATATACGGAATGAACAAATGTTTCATTCAAAGTATTTGTTTGAGTAGAATAAAAGCAATTAAACTACTTGTCACCACATGAAGTCATTTTTTTTTAGGTTGAATGAACTTTTTTAGATCAGTGGGTTTGACCTCCATTTACACATTAATAGTAAATCAGGCCTGTTCAGATTATGCTCATAAAAGGTGATACACAGGTAGAAACTGAGGTTAAGAACACACTCTCCCTGAACACACAGAAAACGAGCTGTGGAACAAAACTCACTGCATCGTCACCGCATGCCATAGGGTGAAAATCAGAATACATCAAAGCAGAGGTCTTAAACTCAAATTACCTGGGGGGCACAAGCCAGGTGGTTCTCTCCAAGTGAGGGAGTTGAAAACATTTTTCCAAGTCTGAATTTTAACTACATAACATGTAGATTAAATTAGTCAATTTTTACATTTACAGCATTTGGCAGACACTCTTATCCAGAGCGACTTACAATTTGATCATTTTACACAGGTAGGCAAAGGTAGTGTTAGGAGTCTTGCCCAAGGACTCTTATTGGTATAGTGCAGGGTGTTTGCCCAGGTGGGGGATTGAACCCCAGTCTACAGTGTAGAAGGCAGAGGTGTTACCCACTACACTATACCAACCACAATTTTTGTTAGCAATTCTTCTGCAATCACAAACTTCTACTATTACTATTATTTCTATTACTACTAGTAGCAGCAGCGGTAGTATAAATACTCTGGGCCAGATTAATAAAACTTGGCGGTAACAGCGCTACTACACATGGCACATTAAATAAGTCACTGAGGTGGTGATTAGCGCACCGGTGTCTTTTTAACGCTGCGGTATCCAGCCGCAGTGGCTGGTAGGTGAGGCAAAACTATCTTCTTTCATCTACTTTCATCTAATCAGATGAAAAAATATCTATATCTAAGGATAAACTGTTAATATGATATGGGCCACATGAAGGATGTGGCCTGCAGGCCAGCAGTTTGAAACCTCATTAAAGGAACATTTCAACCCAAAACTGTTAGTGCTGGATGAAAATAAATAGTGGACAATTAATTTGCATTACCATGTCAATGTCATCATGATAACCTGGTGGCCAGTTGCCCTTATTCATTCTTGGCATTTTAGCAATTGTAATCCTTTAATCTGATAATATCATCAGGCCTGACCTGACAGGAATGGAGGTGAAAGGCTTCTTGTAGATATCAGCCAGCTTGTCCATGACCACAGCAGCAGTGGTGAAGATGCGGTAAGTGTGCAGGAAGGTGTTGAGGAAGTCAATGGAGAGGAAGCGCAGGTCGGTCAGCCTCTCCAGAAGACGTTCCACGCTGGCGTAGCGGATCTGCGGCACCTTGCAAGAGTTGAGCGTCTTGCTAAAGCAAATATCCACATCGTCTTTGTGTAGGCGGATGTCAGACCTATAGAGCGCATACATTAACCTCATGTTTCATAATTTTGTTTCACGTTAAAGCAGCGGTTCCCAAACGTTTTGCAGTCAGGTACACCTTCAGACATTAAACCTCCTGCTGCGTACCCCCTCTCACTCCTTACACTTACATGTGTGCGCATTGGCATGATGCATGTTAGACATTTAGCCTTATAAAATTACTCCCCATTAAAAGTTCAAACATGTTTATAATGCGATGATGCTTTACACCAGATATATTGAATAATGTTTTTATATGTGCACAGTGGTCTACATAAGGGCACTCACTTCATTCACTTTATTTGCTGTTCATTTGGATGTTATAAATATCCCACTTACTCATCACTCATGTATATACGGCAGAGCGCAACGCTATCCAGAAATCTGGTATTGGCTTTAGATTAAATAGAATTCAAAGATCAGCCTGTAGCACTTTCAGTGAGGATCTCTTGATCAGCAGTTGGTGAGTGCAGAGCTGTTTGCGTTGTGTGTATCAGGGAAGAACTTGTGTTATTGCACAGCCGGCTGATGGAACGAAATGAAGTTTAAATTAAGTGTAAACCACAGTTTGGCAACCACTGGGTTAAAGAGGTAATGTTAGTAATAATGAACGCAAGCTGCCGTCTTAGGCAAGTTAACAACAATTCAGCTGAGATCATGTTAAATGATGCCCTTAGCTTTCATGCAGTAGTCATATTAGCATCATCTCAAATTAATGTTATTGCAAGTGGATGTTTGTCTTGCTAAATTTCTTACTTGAGCATGTGAGGCACAGTGACTTTGGAGTTCTCTTCAAACACACTGGTCATCAGGCCATTGCAGCGGATATTGTCGATGCACTTCACAAACGGCCCAGAAACAGGAAGAAAAACAACGTATATTTAACTGTTTAATTTCAGTTCCCCTTCATCATATTAATCTGTGACTAATGGCCCCTGTCAGTCTTATAGGAAAATTACATTTAATTATAAAATATATAGTGATGTGCAAAATTCAGAGACCATACTTTATGTATTTAAGTTCCACGCAAAGCAGCAATAAGCACAAGGTATTCATTTTCCATTGTTAGAAAGCAGGAAACATATATTTAAAATAAATAAATATATAAACAGACACCTCTTTTTTCATTCAGTGTGTCCACTCTTTGCTTTAATTACTTGCTTTCAGTTTTTCAAAAAAAAACTGCAGGGATATTTTTTCACAACTTCAAGATTTAGTCTTTTCTGTTTCTTGCAATACAAGCAATTCCAAATGATGTTGAGATCTTGGCTCTGGGGTGGTCAGTCCATTGCAAATTTTCTTCTTTTTGTCCACTTTCTTTTTTTGTCAGTAACAGCTTCTTAACAGCCACACATTCTTTCAGACCCACAGAGTTGTCTTCTCACAGTTAAAGGATAGACAGAAACACCTGTGGATTTTGTCAGATCTGAAGCAAGAGTGGAGCTTGATTTTCTCTTCTCTCTCAAAGATGAAAGCTTTAAGTACCTCTTATCTGATGGTGACAGTTTTGGTGGTCTACTGGGTCATGCACAGTTGTTAGGAGTCCCATTTTCTCTATAATCTTTGAATTATTTTTTGAACTCCGGTTTTGGAAACACCTGTTTTTTTTCCACTTATTTTCCTTTGACTCTCCCCTTCCTTATGCAAGAGGATTATCTTATATCTAATCTCCTCAGAAATATCTCCTGAAAAATGAATAACTTAACGACTGAACTGGACTGGAAATTAAATAAATGAAGGATAAAATACACAAAAAATTGTGATGAACAGATGAAAGAGTATTTTAAAACTTAAAAACAAACAGATGTGCTATCCATTATGTGTACATGTGAAAGTGAGGGATTCATACTTGCAGTCACTGCATTCACCTCCCTTTGACCTCTCCTTCAGCAGAAATGTATTATTGTGTTAAAACATCATTGTGTTGGTGGGACTAGGACCTAGTCAGGCAGTCACTTGAATGACCAAAGCTCCACCCAGTGCAATAACCACTCATTGGACAGCTACAAGTAATGCGCTTTTCTTTGTGTACCACACTATGCTTTTCTTTTAAACAATCCTACATACTAGAGTATGAAGAGTATGGCTGAGCAAGCTGTAAAACCACAGAGTGTTGTGGCCCCAGTGGGGATAGTGCAGGTGGAGGGAGGGACTGGAAACACCCTGAACTTCACATCAAAACAAGCAGCTCTGTCCCCAGAGCCCCTACCTCACCTGCACCGCAAAACATACAGCACTCTAGAGACAGACCTGCTGCAGGTCTGGTGCTCAGTTTTACTAGATGTGCTCTCTGTGTGCTCTATTCTTGTGTGTGCATGTGTGTGTAAGCCCACAGTCCCTCTGCATTTAGAATCTTGAGAATTACAGAAAAACAATCTTGATTATTACTACAGCACTGGTATCCTGAGAGCTGGCAGTCATTTAAAGCTTTAGGCTGCATGTTTGTGTCTCAGGCAACAAAAAAAAAAAATCAACACAGACTGTGGCTTACCTGGCTTATATCACTGGTCCAGGCAGCCTTCTCCTGGCGAGATGGAGCCAGCAGGACCACAGCGAAGGAGGGACCATCTGCTGGCTCGACCACCACCTTAAACTCCAGATGACTAAAGCCTTGACCTGCAGCATTATCTACAGGACACAAATTTCACAGTAATGCCATACTACTGGATAACCCAGGTGCACATTTAGATAACATTTCTATAACAATAAGGCCCAAATTTATGTTTGGACACAGGCACTTTGCAGAATGTGCCTTAGTGAAACTGCAACAATATGTGCCCACACTATGCCTGAAATTAATGTTTGATTTACTTTGCTACAGCTTCATCACATAAATGTGCGTAGGCCTGCCTACTAACTCCAGTGCTTGTAAGATGCAGGGTTTAAAAGGCACAGTAAAACAATGAAGCCATCAGCAAGGATATTTTGTACTGCTTCTTTTCAAATGTGTACATCTGATCCAGAGAGTTAGTAATGCTCTACTGGTGTTTGAGGCTTGTGCCTTTGTCTAGCCATTGTGTCTGCAGTCATTGTTAAAGGAAGTCTCTCAATAACATCCCTTTGAGATCCTACTGCAAATGATCACTTAGTTGTAACAGGCAAAAAGAATGCATACAAAACCAGCCACTAGTAGTTAGTCAAACTTCAGTAAACTGGTAATCAGCTGCATGTCTAATACTTCTGCCCATTTTCTGTGCAATCTTCTCATATTTTGCGTGGCCCTTCCTCAATGCATATGTAAGTTTTTCCATGCACATTGCCTATAAAATGTGTGTTTAGGCTTGTGCACCACTCTCGTACATTTCACATGAGCTGAATGAGTCCCAATTTGCACCTGAAACTGGCGCAAGTACATTGGGCTGAGTATCCTGAGTATCCAGGTAACAACTTCAACTTCCAAATAAATATGTTTCAAAGCTGGGTGGTGGTACAACTATAATTATTGTTAAACATGTTACACAAACACTGAATTTAGCTACTTTAGCTACTTTAAGCTACTGTTGCTGATACAGGCGTTCAATTGTGCGCACAGGACGCATAATCTCCATTGAAAAGCACTGCCAATAAAATAGGACACTCTGGAGAAGCCGCACATCATCCTTAGGGCACCATGCCCAAAGCCAAGTGTCTACTAGAGGTACACAAAGCATTGGGCTCTGGAGCACTGGAACTGCATTCCCTGGAGCAATGGAGCTTTATCCAATTGACAAGCCTTCAACCTTGGAGTTGTGTTCCAGAATTAAGCATCCAACATCAGTACCTAGAGTAGAACATCAAACTAAATTCGAACTAAATCAGTCACTCTCCAAGAAGTTTGAGCTCTTTAAGATGTTCTTGGCACAAAGCATCACCAAATTAAGTTTGTAGGCTGACACAGTACTTACAATCCTCATCATTGGCATCTAGCTCTTCAATAAGAGTGCATTCTATCAGAGACAGTGTGCCTCCTTGCTGTAAATCAGAAGAGAGAACAAGTGCCATGTCATTACACAGTTATTAACTGACAACTACAAAGCAATATATTCAGTATGATGTGTACTGAAATATTGTACTCTTAGTGTTTTCACAACAATATTAAATGATGGTGCAAAATCATTTTGCACCAGCTTATGATAAAATAATATGTGAGTGTGCAGTTACACTAGAGGTGTTACAAGACATGTATTTATATGCATTTTTTTAAAACTGGACCGTAGGACAAATGTAGTTAGACTGTATGCTATAAAATATTCATATATCAGACAAATTGACACAAAGATCATTTACAGAATCAGACAGATCGCTAACCAGGCAGTTACATCAGTGGTTCTGTGAGTATACGGTGAAGATAGTTCTGGCTGCAAACTGGAACATCTGGCCAGAGCAGTGTAGCACTACTTACACTTATGTAACTAATTATATTGCCTGATATGATCATTTATAGGAATTTTAGCCCCCTAAAAAATCGGTATCTGCCATAAAATGTTCGTATTGGTTCGGCCAATACTGTACTAGTACTGTATAGAACTGTAGAGTTATGTTTCACCTACATTACCATATGAGAAGACTCACTTTGAGTAGATGCAACTTGCCACCAGATGTGCGCGTGCAGATGAGGAGGTGCTTGGTGAAGAGGAAACACTGGCGCTCACCCTCTTTCCGCAGAGACAGCGAACCCAAGCGCACCTTGCTGAGTTTGCCTTTCTCCGCAGAGGGCAGCTGAATTAGAGAGCCTGCAGGGGGACAGAGAACATTAACCCTTTAGAATTGGCAAAATACTGTGCTATCTTCAAAGTGTCACTGCTCTTCAGTAGTTCAAGAAATAGAGATGTATTTTTTCTCCTTGAAATGAGAGAAATAGCACTAAAATACAAGCCAAAGTTGTGTGTGTGGGTCGTTTACTTTCTCTGTAAATACATTGCGTAAACGTATAGAAAACATGCACCCTTTCCATGCATCTGGCACAATGCTTGCTCAATCGTTTTGTAGGGTTTTGTATATAGATCATGTTCCATTCACCGTCTTTTTTGCGACATGTGATGTATAGTCTACATTCTACTTTTGAATGGCTAGCCATAGCTGATCGGGGCACATGATTTGGAAAGCTTCCATGCGCACTTCTTTAAAAACGGGTGCGCAGTTTGGCTTTGGTTAGGTTGTGTCAGCCAATTGGAGTTTCTGATTCAGAGAAAGTCATGGTGGGAGTGTCTCTGGGCAACAATAAGAGAGAGACAAAAAAACAAGCAAAGCAACCTGAAAACAAAAACAGCAAAACAAAAATTATGGCTAAGAGGCTATTTTCTACAGATAAGGTTCTCGAATTGCTGGTCCTGCACAGAACGACGCACAGTGTGACAACTCTTCAGATCCTGAATCATGTTCCTCAGAAGACATAAGTGATTTTGGCGTCATGGTACACATTGTTCAGACTGTGTAAAAAAATATAAAAAACTGACCCCTTTCTTGTATGGGGTTTGCAAAGTGCTCTCTTGTAACTGTGGACAGAAATTGCCAAAAGAACTTTCATATATGACAAATGTACTAAAAACGCACAGGGACACTGGACAGAAAAAAGTGCATAGCTTGAAATTTTCTACAGTGGTTTTATGGATTTATTCCTGAATATAGAGTGTATGAAGTGCAACACACAAAAGTATGCAAAGGCGGAAGTGTCTCTTATATATACCACAACAAAGACGAGCACTTTAAATGTTCCAGATGTAAAAGTCTACTACCTGCAGGGTGACCCGAGCTCTGAAGCAAGATACACGGCATACAGCACTTGTGTAGAGACCTACCTGGCTTGCACAGGGTTACTTTACAATATTATTGTAATAAAAAATAAATTAATTAAACATAACAAAACATTGGTTTGGGAGGAATACATACAGTCATGCAAAAAGTTTTGTTTATTTTTTTAAATAAAAATCTTCTACACAAAACATGGCATTTTCAAGGCATTTTCTGCAAATTTTAGTGTGCAAATTCTATTTATTTGCTGAGTTTTAACATACTGAAAAATAAACTCCAAAGTGTGCCATTACTTTCGTGCAGGCCAACTTTGTGTTGTGTTTCTTTTCACAATATGTTAAAATTCAGCAAATAAATAGTAATTGTGCAATAAATTATGCAGAAGTATGTTCTCTGTAGACTATGCGATAATTTCACTTAGAAAATTAACAAAACATGCAGTTTGCCCAAACTTTTGCATATGATCGTAGAAGTGAAGTCTTGAAGCGACTGGTGGAGGAGAGGGGGAAGAATGAACGAAGACAGGAAAGAGAAGCTGAAAGCTTCAAAGATGGTAACTAAGAGAAATATGGAGCTGTTCCGGGGAGGAAGGGTTTTAGAGAGAGTGATTTCAAATGACACACCAGACTCATTAGAGGACACTGCACAAAACTTAGTGCCAGATAAAGTGAGATAGGCATTTGCTGATGTGAAATATAAAATTGTAGCAAGTCATTGGTCTTGCTTTGACATGCAAGGGCAAGCAAGAATGTTGTCTATTGGAGTTTCAGGGATTCTGTTTGTGGCTATGTGAGGCTCACCTTGCCGTACGAAGGTCTGGCTGGTATCCAGGAGGATGTCACAGCCCTCCACTATCATGCGCTCAATGGCGAGATTCTTGCGGATGTTTTCAGTGTCGCTCACTTCATCATGCATCATTCTGTAAAAAGAAACAAATGAAAATCAACACAATGTATTCCACCGCATACAAACCTCATTTAAGTTAATTATAAATTTTGGCCAGCAGACTCTGCTCTTGCAGCTTAACTGTAATTCATCGCATTCAATCATGTGGTGTTTGCCAGTGTTTACTGCATTTCCTTCAAACAGGCATCAGCATACAAATGGCTTCTTTGCATTTCAAAGCACCATAATCAGGCCTAAAGGATGGTACAATTGATAGAGCTTCTCTTCTATGAGAACAGTTGTTCTATATGCGTTGCTAGGTAATTCAGCAGAAAACATTTCCGCCCTGGTCTGTTGCATGGTGGTCCTTACATCTAAGGGTCAGGCAATAATCTAGAGCTTATTGATCTTTTGAGACTTGGACACTCAGAACAAAAATGGCATCTGTGATTTACGGCTACTGACAATAGCTTTTCTAAAATCACTTACTTGGAAAGTTCCTCCAGTTTCGACTTGGCAAATTCCAGACTCTTGCGTTCTACATGTTCATGAGGCGTATGGGCAAGCAACTCATGGAGTGTAATAATGTATCGTGGGATCTGGCTCGAAAAGAACATTAATGAATAAGATACTGTGAAACTTCTGAAATTTTGCATATAAACACCATGGTGTTCATGCTCTGCCCAAATAGGCTGATTAGGATAACTCCTGATGCCTGGGTCCAGTCATTCACCTGAAACATGGGGTAGGTCAGGAATGTCTCCAGCATTCTGCCTTCGCAAGCAGCATTGGACTCATACTGCTTCAGCAGCTTGTCAAAGTCCCGGTTCTGCTTACAGTTAGCCAGAACCTGCAGGCTGTACTGGTGGTTCCGCACAAACTCCTGGTAGATGTTCAGCATTGGCAGCAAGATGTCAAAGAGATCAGCTGCAAAGTGAAATTTATTTAAGAGTCTCATTCCATTTCTTGAATTGTAGGTCATCTGCACAGTTGAGTAATGGATTTGATGGCAGATAAAGAGAAAATGATTTTTTTAAGCTGTAAAAAGAACACATATAATGACTCACCTAAAACTAATGTTGGCCAGTTGGCGATTCTTGCTTTTAGGCCTTGGTGAAAGATCTCATGAAGAAACATTATAGTCTCACTTGAAAGAAAGGAAATCGTTTAATCAGTATTGTAGATTTAGAGTCATGTGAAACGTACATACAGTATGTTTGCTACAACAACATCAGCATATTTTACCATGGCTGGCTTCTCAATAACACATTATTCACGCACCTATTCAGGAAAATGCTGCTGACATCATCGTGACTGATGGGAGGTTTCTTGGAACTTGCGGCCATCCTGAGCGGCCGCAGGAAGCAGTTGACCAGAACGGACAGCTGGAGCACATATTCAGTCTCAGCTTCCACCATGTTGAAGACAATTTGATTCCTCTTTCTCATGCTTTCAGCGTGGGGGGAGCAGATGTAGTCCTGTACGATGATCTTCCACTTTCTCCGACAAAGCCAGCCACGCATGAAACTTTGCACCTGGACATACAGTAGTGTTCAAAAAAATAGCAGTGAGTTTAAAAAACCAAATAAAGCGCAAAATTATTATAATAACTTTTATTTCCATAAATCCATTTAATTCCAAATCAAAACATTAACAAAATTGATCCAGTTTGTGTTAATCCTTCACAGAAAGTAAAGAAAACGAAATATAGGTTGTTCAAAAAATAGCAGTGCCAGCATTTTTCTTTAAAAACTCAAAAATGTAATATATAAACTGAAAAAAATGTTTGAGATTTCACTTTACTTTGAATTACTGAACTAATATTTAGTGGCATAACCATTGTTTCTGAGAACTGCTTGACATCTGTGTTGCATCGAGTTGACTAACTTCTGGCACATCCGAACAGGTACTCCAGTCCAGGACGATTGGACTACATTCCACAATTCTTCAGCTTTTTTGGGTTTTGCCTCAAAAACACATTTTCTATGGGATTGAGGGATTAGGCTGGCCACTCCATTACCTCAATCCTGTTTGTCTGTAACCAAGATGTTGTTCGCTTACTGGTATGTTTTGGGTCATTGTCATGTTGAAACACCCATTTCAAGGGCTTTTCTTCTTCAGCATAGGGCAACATGATGTCCTTAAGTATTCTGATATATTCAAACTGATCCATGGTCTCTTGTAAATGTGCCCAACACCATGGTATGAGAAACATCTTCATATCATGATTTTTGCACCACCATGCTTTACTGTCTTCACAGTGTACTGTGGCTTGAATTCAGTTCTGTCTGACATACTGTCTGCGGCCACTAGACCCAAAAAGAACAATTTAGCTTGTTCCTTGGCAAATTTTAACCTGTTCAGGGCGTCTTTTTTTCAACAATGGGACTTTGCGGGGAGTTCTTACTGGTAACTTGGCTTCACTTAATCGTCTTCTGATTGTAGCAGTACTCACTGGTAACTTCAAATCTTCTTTGATCTTTCTGGAGGTGATCATTGGCTGAGCCTTTGCCATTTTGGCTATTCCTCAATCCACTCAGCCTTTAATATGGTGCACTTCTCTATATGTTTTTCTCTCTCCAATCAACTTTTTAATCAAAGTATGTTCTTCATCAGAACAATGTCAGGAACGACCAGTATTTCAAAGGGAAATGCACTACAACCAACATGTGCAACATTTACCACTCTCCTACCTTAAATAAGGGCCAAAATTAACACCTGTTGTTCCACAGAATGAATGACATCACCAATTGAACTCCTCACTGCTATTATTTTGAACATGCCCCTTTCAATTAATAATTCAATTACTCTGAGTGGCATGTATGTCCTAATTGCTGTTTTTTTCCTATTACTCTACTACACTTACAAGTAAATTATTTGCTATGTATAAATATCACTTCTACCAAAAACAGTGATTTATCAGATTAATGATGTTGGACTGCTATTTTTTTTAACACTACTGTAGTTTAAGCAGTATGGCTTGACCAAACAATACTAACACGCTACTAGATACACTGATTATTCTTTATGACTGAGAGAAATACTGATTAAAATGTGTTAATAATGATAACAGTAACAGATCAGGTGCATTAAATAAAAAGTATGAACAGTACAGAACATAGACGGGTCAGTAATGCAACATTAAAATCTCTAGAGTGAAGTCAGGATATATACCTTTTTGATTTTCTTTATGTCAGGGTCTTCCTCTTCTTGATTGGACTGATAAGGTAGCATTTTCTCCTTTGCTTTATTTAGGACAATAATCTGTAAAAAAATGACAAACTACCTTGCTTAACCTCATTATACTGAAAGAACTTGGCCTTACAAATGACATATGATGAGAACATGTACCAGCAAAATAAGACATTTAGCATTAAACAAATAATTACAAATGCACTTAGAGGAAATCCGTGTCTCTACACATTGTACACTGGATACTAGTGCTGTAGTCAAGACCACTGGGTCTGAGTCCGAGCCAAGACCGAGACCGGGACACTTTGAGACCAAGACTTTTAGTAGTTGAGTCCTAGTCAAGACCAAGAACAGGAGTGGCCGAGACAAGACTGAGACCAGATCAAGATTTTTTTTTTTTTAATAAAAAAAACAAACAAACAAAATTCATTTGTAGTTATTCGTACATTCAAACTCGTGAATTATGCATTATATATGTACTAAAACACAATATTACCCTACATTACATTTTTATTATTAAATGAAAACAGCAATAATAATATTGTGTAACTATGACTGTTGTAGGGAGAAGTTACTATTACACAGCCACAGGACTGTTGTAGGGACAAGTTAATAATATTACACAGATACATAAAATAATGAAAATAGCTAAAACAGCAGAAATAGCCAAATATTACTTACATTACATTACAATTAATGATGTTCCATAAACAGATTTATAAACAATGTAATGAACAGTGAATTTCAGCAGTAACATTATTATTCTTCTAATGCTGGTAATATTTTCTGATAAGGAGTTCCACCTTAAATGGTGCCTGAATGCCTCAGTGGCCCGAGGCACCAAAATGTAACTGCTGTACCATTTAAGGTGAAATATTTGAAAAATTTGGAAAATTTGAACAGGAGGCTGGCAAGAAAGAAGGATACAGTATACAGTACTAGTGTTGACACTGTCAATTTTGAAGAGAGACCTGACCTCAGCCTTGAGCCTCTCAATCTCTGTGTCCTGGTCTTCCAGCTGCGTGCGGAGCTGATTGGCCGCCACCTTCTCCGTCTCCAAGATCTGCACCAGGTGAATGTACTTCTGCATGAGCACCTCTCGCTCGATAATGAGATCAGAATAGCTGGCAGCGGATGAAGAAGAAATGGTAAAACAGAGAAAGAGAAAAAGGGAGAGTGATCCAAACCATGGTCACACCAAATGGAGATTTGCACAACTCCACAAGAATTTTGTTTTTGATAACTGTTCCATGGTAAAGAAGTTAATTTATTTATTGCACATTAGTTATGTAGCTAGTATCTCAATGAAAACAATTATTAACTCTGTAAGATGGAAGAGGCCCCCCATCTTAAATGCGCTGCTGACCAAATGAATGGGCCAAACATACTGAATTACTATGGTCTGGCTAATTTCAAGTGTTCATCTGGATGATGGCATTCCTTGGAGGAAAGGTATAATGATTCTGGAGAAGTTGTGGAGAGAATAATTTAAGTAATTGTGTGTGATTACTACTCATTGTGGTTTCACGGTCTAGACAGCATTGATAGCAATGATACAAATACTTTAGTTTATTTTAGTCATTTTGCTGAAGACTGTGTGTGAGTTTTGCAGCTAGGTACAATCCACACTGTCCTTAATTTGCTGCATGTACACTTTTCAGGCAGGTGCACTTATCAAATCAATGTTGACTGCTATAGCTTTATTTCTCTTGAATACTCAGACATTAATTGATGCAAGATTCCCACAAGGGCCTTCTAATAATAGTGGCGCAAGATGCAGAATTCTCACATTTGAGCAGCAATACTGGCTGCTTTTCCAATTTATTTCCCCTCACTGAGTGCTGGTTTTTGCATTACCATCCTGCAAGCTAAAATTATGCACAAATATGATATAATTTCACAGTGCATCAACATTAGTCTCTTTCCACTATTAAAAAAGTCAACAGTTTCTATAAAATAAGAGACTGTGAAAAGTTCTCTCTTCTGAGAGACTTCACTCACCTCTAGTACTGTTCTGAATTGTTCTGTTCTAGTTCCACCTCCACTCTGACACTGCTTTCACACAATCACCTACAGCTGAACCCTTTGTTTAGTCTCTTCATGAAATATTGAAGGTTAATTGCTGCTTTCTTTCCTAGAGCTCCTGGCTAGCCATGTTTTGACCTGCTTATTCTGGGTTTTTGATCTGTTTATTCTGGGTAATTGATTCATAAAACATTATAATCAGATTTTATGCTGGCTCAGTGTTTTAACATAAACTCAAGCACACGCACAAACATAACAAAGTAGGCTTGCCTTGGAGCAGCGAAAAAAGCAGGTTCTCACTAATGCATGCATGTTTGCATTCACAAATTGGTCACAATGTTCATGTATATGACATAAAAGGCCCCAAACCCTAAAAAACATTGATTTTTACAGAAATATTCCATCAATACCTAACATGTCTGATGAAAAATCAAAACTATGACCTCTACTGTACATACTTAAAAATGATGGTTTTTCAAGCATTCTTTAGTAAAGAAAATGGTTCATTTTAGAACCATGAACATTCAAAGAACCTGCATGATTAAAGCGTTTTTTGCATCATGAAAGAGAATGTGTTAAATATGATTCTATATTGAACCTTTCTGAAAATGGTTCTATATAGCACCAAAAAGGGTTCTTCTATTATTACAAGCTTGACATTGTAACAATAGAAGAATCCTTTTTGGTGCTATAAAAAGGTTCCATATTAAACCATATTCAATACATTCTCCATTAATCCGAAGAACCCTTTCATGATGCAAAGAACCCTTTATTCGTGCAAAATATTTTTTGAACGTACATGGTTCTACATAGAACCATCTTCTTTACTAAAGAACCCTTGAAAACATCATTTCTAAGTGTGTATACAACATATAGTATAGGTTTTTTCAGTTTTTAGAAGCATGCATCAAGAATCGCTTTGTTGGCATCCTGAATGAAAATCGAATCAAATACTAAGGTGCCTACAGATTACCACCCCTAATATTTAGTGGCCTTTGCTTAATAAACAATTGATATCCAGCCCATATGTGAACATGTTTTGGCATTTAAGCATTCTTAAGCATTATGATATTGCTGAAAAGAAAAAAAAATCTGTGAAGGAATATTCATGTAAGTGTAATGGAGCTCTCAGCAAAAAGCTGGTATGGCATTGCAGAGGTCCTGAACTGTGTGTGCCACCCTCAACACTGTGATGTAATCTTTAAACACCAGCGTCATAGAGCATCAGCGGGTGACCTGAGACTGAACCACTAAATGCAGAGTGCTGGAAATTACAGATGGTGGATGTGTGGGAAAACACAGGGATTTGTGTGGATCATCAAACACTGAGTCCAGATTCTCTCTGACTGTGCTGTCCAACTTGAAATATTTATTTATAAATTCCTCTAAAAATAAAGCATAGTACAACAGGTCGTCTTAAATGTCTTAACTTTTTTTCCAAAATAAAAATCAGAAACAAAAATGAGTCTTAAAATAGTGTCATTTCAGTTAATGAGGACTTTCTGCTCTGCTTGCTAGAACTATAGTACATCTGGAATATAATCAAACTAGGCCACTGTACCTTGCGTCAGCTGAAGCCTCTTCTTTGTTAGGAAAAAAAAAATAAAAAATAAAAAAATAAAATGGCCTTCATGTGCTCCTGTACCTGGCCTGCTGAATAGCTTCCACCCACTCACTGCAGTCTGCATCCTCTTCGGCTCGCAGCTCCAGAGGTTTCTGTCCATCATGGCCGAAGATGACCAGGAAATAGTGCTTAATGAAGGAAAGACAAAGAACCAGTGACTGCATACTGTGAAGCACATGAAGTTGACTGCATTTATCACATAAATGGAGACACTTAAAGTCCGTCATTGGTCTTGCTGTTGACATTTCCCAAAAATACGAGCTTCATTTAAAGCAGAGGTAAGTGAGTATTTTCAGGCTTGTGGATGCGAGGTAAGCTTGGATAGAGGTGTGCATTTGCAGTGTCCAAAAGTGTGCTGATGCAATAAACTGTGAGTGTGAAAGAGACTATGTGTGTGTGCATGCACATTATAGGACGTAGGCTTAAGGGCTTGTTCATGTTCTCCTGCTGCATGGCAGATCGGCTGGTGAGTGTGTGTGTGTGTGTATGTGCGTGTGTGTGTGCGCACTTATGTAACAGCCAGTGCTTCTCCTATCTGCCTTTAATGCGCTGTCCTCAGCCCCAGGCCTTGTTTAAGCTGGGAGATAACAATAGAGCCACTGCTTCCCCACACACCTCTCAATCTGCCTCACCTCCAATACATAACCACCTCACCAACCCACTACATAATCACCTGATATTGCTCACATTCCTAGCAGCTAGGGCTGCAACTATCAAATATTTTCATTTTCAAATATTCCATGAAATATTATCTTGAATAATCTTAATTTCTTTGTGATTATCTTTATTAATATTATTATTATTATTATTATTAGGGCTACAACAAATATTCAGTAATAAATGATGATGCAATAAAATGCAGTGCAATAAAATTCCTGACCAAAACCAGTTGAAGACACACATGACATTTATGGCTGAAAACAGAAACCAAAAGAAAGGTTTTTTTTAGAAGTGCTGTTTTATTTATTTATTTATTTGTTTTTCTATGTTTTTAAAAATGCACTGAACATGAAAAACTACAATTCAAGAAAGAAAATACATTTCTATTATTGATAAAATCTGCTTTCAATAAGATAAAACTGAGCTATGAATAAATAAAAAGAGTTTACAAAAATAAACTTACTGCAAACAAGGTAATTAAGTCATGGTCACAACTAAATTGTGGACTTAAGTAAGGCATAAGTAAGGCATAGAAACAAGATAATGAAGTTGTGGTGACAACTTAGTAAGGTGTCAAAATGAGATAATGAAGTCAAGGCACAAGGCCATTAAACGAGTGAAAGTTAGTAAGGCAAAGGAACAAGATAATGGTCATAATAACTAAGTTGTGGCCATGACTTAGTAAAGTGTAGAAATGAGTTAATTAAGTTGTGGCCATGACTTAGTAAGGCTTGGGAATGAGATAATTGAGTCATGGCCACGACATTAAAGTGTGAGAATGAGATAATTAAATCGTGCCCATGATTTAGTAAGGTGTGGGAACAAGATGATAAAATTGTGGCAACAACTTAGTAAGGCGTGGAAATTAGATAATTAATTCATGGAAATGACTTAACAAAGCATAAGAATGCGATAAGCTGTGAACATGGCTTACTAAGGCAGGAACGAGATTTAGTCTTGGATAAAACTTAACTAGGCATGGGAACAAGACAATGGTCATGACAAATAAGTCTTGGCCGTGAATTAGTAAGGCATGGGAAAGATCTGTTAAAGGGTTTTTCCTTTTTCAAGTATTTTATTGATTGAATTTATGGAATACTATTAAACAGTTGTTCCAGGCCTAGTCCTAACAAAATTCCACTAAATAATGTCCTATCTAGCCCCATCTCTCATACACAGCCTATTCCTTTGCTCTCTCACACAGACTGTATTTTTTTAACAGAGGCTGTAGACTTTTTTTTATTCAAATGGCGGTGTCCGGGGGCAACACGCTACCAGGAGGGCTACTATTCTTAGTAGGGCGGCAGTGCATTGTGCAGCACAGACATGCTCGCCTGTTCGGTCTTCTAGTGGTCTGCAGAGCTTAGTGAACTGGAACAGTGCACAAAGGAGCCGTCCTTACAGCGGGCCGCTCTGCTAGAATCAACAAACTGACAGAATGCAAATAAAATTACACAATCTAATGCAACTCTCTGCAAAGGTTGCAATTTAGTATCTGCGGCCAGAGTTCACCAATTCGGTAGGAGGGTGGCGGGATATCTTGCGTAACATTTTGTGGCAAGTGCTTCAAGCATAATAATACAGTGCCACTTCAGCATAACATCAAACCCAATTTCCATGGTAACCCAAGTCATTCGGTTGCTGGCAGTTCTGTCAAGTATGTTTCATTTGCATCTGAATCTTTAGCAGGTATGATGAAAAATGCTGACTGTCTCGGTAACTAACAGTCAAAATCGGTAGTGTTTGTCCAACATAAAAGCTTAACAGGGTTGTTTTTTGGCTTCAAAAGTTCTAAGCTTGGAGTTCAGATGAATGAGACGTAGGGAAAAAAGCGTATTTGACAGGCTTTCAATCGAAGCCAATCTAATTTTCATATTCTGAGTTAATGATGGTACTTTGATGGACATTATAATGGATTTTCTAATGACTCTATCCATAAACAACTGTTACATTAATAAGCAGAATACTTTGCACATCACAAAGGCCTCTTCAATCAATATGGCCAACAAAGCAAAGCACAATTATCCATTTGCTTTTGCTTTTCAGAGTACTCTGGAGCTCTCTGATGCTTGGTCTGTTTGAAATTTTACTGAAGAGGCTTGTCGTTGAGAGAGATATAGTAAAAGTTCATTGAGTGGCCTTCGCTAAGAAGGGGTACACATAATGGCATTTCTAATTTTCCATGTTGCATGACTATAAAATTAGGTTACTTGCTGTGATAATAGCAGGCTGGTTGAATACCACTAAACAACAAAACTGATAAAGCACTTAAAACGTATCCCCCTTTCTGAAGCGACAGCAGAAATGTTATCTTTTGCACAAAATAATTTTGCCAAGATAAGATATAATACTGTGCAAAGTAAGAGGACACCCTTTATCTATTTAATTTCCAGTCAAAACAGCCATAAAAGAGTTATTCATTTTTCAAAATCAGGAAAAAAGCAAAAACATACATTTAAAATAAACCTCAAGAACGACATACAATATAAGGTTTTCACTAATTAGTGCGTTTGCATTGTGCCTTCATTACAGCTTCCATTCTTGTCAGGTGACTTCCTTTCAGTTTCTGAAAGAAATCTGCAAGGATATCTCTCCTCATCTCCAAAGTTCAGTCTTAGATGTTGGTTAACTTTTCTGCTTCTCACCATCAAAGCAATAACGAATATGTTGTTATTGCTCTGAGAACAATGCCTATGTCTGAGAACGAAGCTGTTTTATTTAATTTAGATAAATGCTTTATGTACTGTTTATCTGAGACAGTTTTGGTGGTCTACTAGATCTTGCACAGTTATTAGTAGTGCCATTTTCTCCAATTTTTTAATGTTTTTACTAATTTTCCTTTGACAATTTATGCAAGTGGCTGATATAAACTTCTCAGAAATCTCCTGAAAAATGAATATCTTGTACTTATTGGCTGTTTTGGCTGGAAATTAAATGAATGATGGGTGGTCTCTGACTTTTGCACAGTTCATGAAGTAATCCAAAGGTTGGACTGAAACCAACATGCCTTCCTAGCCCTATTTTCTAGCCCACCTACCAACAGAGCTAAGGGCTAATGTACTCTGTATATTAAACTGCCTATAGCGTCTAATCGTAACGGTCTAATAATAACAGTATATTCAAGAAATTACTCAAGGATAAAGTATTTAACTATAGGACTTTGTATTCACAGGTGCTGTAGCTGTTGTAGGAGTGCGTGGAGACAGACAGGGAGCTGCTGGCTTCAGTCTGCGGCCGATAATCTCAGAGCTGTCACAGGGAAAGAGAGGGGGCAGGGCCGTGCACACACATCTGCTGTACGGTAAACTAGGCTAGGCTGACAGAGTACGGAACTAAATAAAAGCACAGGGAAGTCTGGGACAATGGAAATGGTCTCCAGCAAATAAAAGTCAGGCTTCAAGCAACCGGTAAATCTAAACAAATATCACCAAGATTGTGTCATTAAAAATGGTGAATGAAAGGCAGGCTGAAAATACCAAGTTCACATCCCCAAGTTGGGGGTGATCCATGGTGGCAGTCAGTCAGCTTTCTGGATGCACACAATAATGACAGATGATTTTATTAGAATCATGTCGGTATCAACAAATATTTGATTAAAAACAATATTAGCGTCAAAATATTAGCATGAAAAACGCAAAACAGACATTAATAAACTGGCTGTCTTTAACTAACTAAAATGTCACATTCGTAACACAAAAGTGTCTCAATCCATGCAGACTGTCAGCGCTGCAACATCCACCCACTTGAAGGAGCTGACAGACAAGAATCCAGAAACGTTACAGTTTAGATATCTCCTCTTTGCAGCTGAGTTAATTTAGTAAGAGTCAACTCTCCAAATTGCCGTGCTAAAATAAAAAGGTCATATAACTAAACTGACATGTGTTAACTGAGGAGGCAGAACATGAAGATTCCTTGTCATTTATAACATAAATCATAATGGTACATTATGTATTTAACTCATGTTGTCCTTTTTATGTTCCAAGATCTCCTTTTCTTTCTTCCAGTTTTTGGAATTGAGAAACAAGAAAATTTTGTGTGGAATTAATTCTTGGAATCAACTTCATCAAATCCATATTACTTAGAATCGGAATCGGAGACGACTCCAGAATTTCTGAAACAGGCCTACTTTTAGTTCTAATAGTGATATTCAACTCATGAATTGTACTTTTGAGCCGACTGACAGGTCTTAGGCAGGATCTTTAAGCTATCCGAGCATTTTGCTCAGTGATAGATGAAGATGGTGGGAGGGGGACATGAAACATGACATTATTGGCTAATATTTTTTCCGCTGATGGTGTATGATGATGTAATCAAAACTCAGAGGTACGTTTTGTCACCTCACTTTGATCAAAAATGCAGCAGAAAACAAGAATTGTGTCTTTTAAATGGCATGGCATGATGAATTGCACTTAAATGACCCCCACATGAACTAACAAGGTAATAAAAGTCTGTTTTGATCTTGGGATGACTTTAAAGGCCAAAGTGTACTGACCAGACAAACACAGTTGTTCACAGAATGTCCAGAAAAAGAACTGACAAACCAGTAACAAGAAGTGAATGGAAGAGAACTGTCAAACACAGGTACAGCACTCCAACCAAATGCTAGCGTTTGATCACGTTTGCCCGTTGGGTGTGCTCTGGCTATAAAAAGTCCAATAAAATTTTTAAATTTCAATAACAAACTTTCACAATTCAACCTCATAAAATCCCAACAGAAATGCCTGATTGTAACACATTTCTGACAATCCCGCTCTAAAGGCCAGTACACACCAACCAAACACAAACAGAGATGGTGTGCTATGCATATCTTTGAATGTTGGGAGAATCTAGAATGTTCTCTCCTCCTTCACTCCAACATTTTCTTGTCACAGTTATTTTTCTGGAGGAAATTTCACAAAGCAGAATTTCTCAGTTCAGCCACATAACAGATAACAGCCCAACATCAAGCCTGTCCAATAGGAAAAGAGCTGAGGGACATTCCTGCTAGACAGTCCTCATATTTAGGCTCAAATCATTTGGCTAACTGAGAAATCCTGCTGTATGAAATACTCCGCTGGGCATCTGTAAACACTGCTATTTGTTTAAGAATGTTTGGTCAGTGTGCTCTCATAAACGTCTTTCTGTTTGTGAATCAGTTCGTTTAGACCAGGGGTGTCCAATCTTATCAGCAAAGGGCCAGCGCGGCTGCAGGGTCTCATATCGAACATACAGAGCACACCTGATTCTACCTGCTTAATCAGTTGGTCAGCGCCACCCCGGCCCTTTGCAGATAAGACTGGGCACACCTGGTTTAGACGGACAGTTCGAACGACACCGCAAATCTGAATGAAACTCGTTTCAAATCGCAGATTTTGCTACCCGACCAATATCTTCACTGCACTCCAGAAGCGAACGCACGTGGCACCAACTTCACTCTCCTCCCGCCTCGCGCGCGCGCTCCCGCGCAGAATTTCTCTTCTGCACGAAACAAGACGGCAGCTCCAGCTCTTTGCTTCTTTAGTGTATGAAACAGAGCGTTCTTTATAAAGCATGTAAATGTGAAAGTAGCCTGCATACCTGCTGCTTATCGGAGCTGTCTCTCCCCACGGCGGACACTTTCGGCGCGGGGACCCGCTCGCAGGTACAGCCCTCCAGCAGATAAATCCCCGTCGGTCTGGCGCTCTGCTCGTTCTCGAAGTAGAACAGGACGTTCTGGTAGAGAGCGAAGTACTTCTCATTCCAGCGGCTGTTCTCGGCCGTCTTCTTGCTCAGGTAGCCGCGTTTTACTCCCTCTTTGCGCGCGATCACGGACAGATAGAGTGCGTGCCCCTCATTGTACCGCACACTTTTCTGCATTTTCCAGCTCGGTCTCTCACGCCGCGTCACATAAGCCCATGGTCCTCAGCGGTGGTCGAGATAGCCTACTTGAAACAGGAAAAAAGTGAGGTGAAAAAGTGCGAAAAGATCACCCAGAGACAGTCGAAAACGCTGGGGAAAGTTGCTCACACGCAGACAACGTTACCCGTCCAAAACGGACCGTTAAAACACTAAATCAGTCCCTTACAGCTTTTACAACGGCGAGCCCGGTTAAGTCCAGAAAATTAAAACAACTTCAGCCACATGTACGGGCTTTTTTTATTCCGGAAAGCATCGTAAAACAAAAACAGATGCAGTGAACAGACGGTAAAAACAGAATCACGACCGAGATCAGCGGTAATCGGCTTTGATACCAACTTAAAGAGACAGCTCTGTTTACGCGGCGGTGTGGGGAGGATGTGCTAGGCTAACTGCATCCCAGCAGACACAGCGCCGACACGGAGCTGCTGTTGCTATAGTCATAAAAGCAGCCCTAAAAAACAAAACAGTACCCTGTTTCAGTGTCTCTTAAACATGTATTTTTAAATGTTTAAATGTGTTTTGTTCCACTCTCTGGCAGTAATAAATGCTGTGAATTAGTGCGACGATGCTTTTAAAATCTCGGTCCACGTTTAGGTTTGTGAGGAAGCGTTAGGCTTGTAGCTACAACAGAAAACGACTTTAGTGCCATTTGAATGACAATGTGAAATGTCTTTCTAAGAACATTTAGTGCCATGAATCAGACAGTTTCGAGTCTTTTTTCCAATAATTATCAGTTTTCTAGCAAGTTTGCATGTTTGTTTTGGTGTTGTCTGGTAGCTAACTTACAACAGAAAATTTGCTTAAGGTATCCTAACGTTAGCTAAATAGTTTCGTATGTTGGCTAGTATAGAGCATTAAGCATTTACAGTTTATACCCTCTTAGCAGTCAATTTAAAATCAGTGGCTACAATGAACACAGTCCACTGCATAAAGCCTTTTCTAATGGACTAATAATAGAATAAATCTAAATGGGTATAGATTTATTTGCACCATTTTGAGGTCTCCGCATCAGCTCATCTCTAGCAGCTCTGAGCTGTTTTTTGAGCAGCTGTTACAGCAGCTGGAGTTGTTGCTGTAACTGAAATTTCTAGTCATATGCATGCCTTATAAAACTAGGGGTAATGTATGAAGGTCTGCATAATACACATCTTTAGATTTTGAACGACATTCTTTCAAGTTCAGTGTTCTTTAATACAGAGTAAAGGCAGCATAGAGCTAGCACATTTACTCCAAATATAACTATTGCTCAAAATACATCCCTGGCCAGGATTTGAGACATCAGATTTCAAATTGGTCATATTTGTGGAAACAAAATTGATCATAAGTAATAATTTCAAGAGGGCCATGTACTTAAGTCCACAGATCCAGTTGATTAAAATTTTTACCACAAAACACTTCACATATTAACACAATTGTTCATGCTACTACATGCATTAGTAATGTGCATGCCTTATCACCTATCTCAGAAAGGCCTAACTGTTTATTTTATTTACACCAGACAAAAAAAGCTGTGTTAAATAGTAAGCTAAAAAGGACAGAGAAAAACAGAAAAAGTGAGCACTGTCTGGGGCAAAGGCAAAACCAGGACACTAGCACAGCCTGCCTGCAGGCCATAGAGTAGCAGCTGTGTGCTAAGACAAAAAAGATTTCTTCACTCACTCAGTTGGACTGGTTTTTATTAGTGACCTTATCATAGCTAAATCATTACTGTTAAGCCTTATTCTCTTATAAAACAAACTGATGTGGGTCCAGAAAGTCACCACTGAATTTCATCATTAATAGCATTACATGAGAGGTAAATGTATAACAATCATAATAATATGAATACCAGCTGTATTAAAACATCTTAAATATGTGGCAATTCTCTCTTTTAGCCAGTGTTTGTGCTGAAGGCAAAGGCAACACTGGAGGATTATGGTGGATTACTAGTATGTCTCTCAATCCCAAAAATAGCTACATGCTCATAAGTCTGTAAAATGGGGCTGCTATGGCAATCTATTTTGTTGATGTTTTGTTTTTAAACAGATGCAAATGGAAAATGAACAACTCTAAAGATAAGCCCAGGCCAGAGGGACACTGCCCCAAAACTGCACAAAAATCCCAACTTCTAGCCATAAATTAAAGATCCTCACTCTTACTCCAGCTCCTCCAATGAATTTGTACTTTACAAAAGGAAATATGATTTACATGAAGCAAGAACATGTTTTAATTTTCCATCCAATGAAGTCAGCTCTTCGTCAGTGTTCACCAACCCTCCTCCTGGATGGAGATCTACTTTCCTGCAGAGTTAAGTTCCATCCTACATCAAAAATGCTGCCACCTTCTTACCTAACACTTATGCATCTGATGATCCAGCCAATCAGAGACTTCTGATGAAGTTAATTAGCTGGAGCAGGCATGGCAGATCGTGGTTGGAACTAGATTGTGCAGGACAATAGTTCTCCAGGACCAGGGTTGGTGACCACCGCTCTACGCGATTTTCAGTTTAACCATAAATTGAGGTTTATGTTGTGGTTGAAAAGTTTTCAAACAGTGCCATCTTGTGGCAGATCTTTAAAAATCTATAAAAAAAAACCTATTCAAAATATATGACAAGGACCGTTTCAGGAAACCAGCAACCTAACCTCACTTTACAGAAATGCACTCAGGGGACATTATTAGCCTAAAGTGTCTGTAGTTGATGATGTTCCTGAACAGTAGCCTAGACAAAAATAATCAAACCTGTTTATGCTCACTCCTGAGAAGACAGAAAATGATATATAATCAAATATATATCTAAAATGTCTGTTGTTAAATTTAGCTGAAAACAGTGGCTTGGAAACATATACCAACAACACTTCAGTGCCATTGCAAAAACAAAAAAAAAAAAACAATTTCAACAACATTGCATTCCCTTGCAATATTTTTGCAATTGTCTTTTCTCAGCAAAGGTCAAGGGATTTTGCAAGGGAACTTTGCTGAGAAAACACAATTAGAACCATTAGGATCAAACCCTGATGGTGTTGCTTTCTAATGGGAATTGGCTTAATGGTTACCAATTGAGACCACTAGATTCCTGTAGGACACTTTAGATCCCATTACAACATCATCAAATGCATGTGGTATCAGTCCCAGAACACCTGTTAAGCCATTAGAATCCTTTACACAGCAATATAAGCCCATCAGGAAAACACAAAATACCAATACTGACCACTGGACACCACCAGGAACCAACAGAAACTTTTAATAGTTTTTTTTTTTCAGCAGAGAATGCAAAATTCTCGAAAGGGAATGCAAAATTCTTGAGAGGGAATGAAAAACTATTCTGAAAGAACGGAATGCCTTAAAGGTTTCTTCTAAAAAGTGCATACTGAGGACGACTTACATTTTATTTTTCATGTATTTAGTTAAAAGAAGACAAAATCACAACAAATCACTTGTATTAAAGACAGTGACTTCCTATAACCCCATTAAATATCCTACTTTTCACAAATATCTCTTGGCCTAAAGCTTGTCATGCAGGCATATGGATGCTATAGATTATGTTCATGATTTCTGTTGTTTCTATTCATAAATAGCTCTTAATGTAGAATTTTTAACTGAAGATATATGTTTATTGATAGAGTAGAAATCAACAAGTCTGCGTAACCTAAAGAATGAGAGAATTTTTTTGGGTGACTATTTGGGTGACTTTATACTTCTATTCTATACTTCTACTGTTCATTAGCAATGTTAGCTCCAGTGCTAAACTAAAAAAAACATTTGAACATCAAACATTTATTTGCTGATCAACATCTGGGGTAAGAGAAAACCTATGTACATTTAATTTTTAACCAAACTATTCCTTTAATTGAACTTTTCCTTTTTTCACTGAGATTGGTCTGTGCTATTCCAATAGCACCAAATAGCAATAGCCAGATGAATGCTGTGGATATTCATTCATGTGAAGGCTCCCTTTAGTAAAGATTCTTTTGTCATCAGAAGGTACCTTTTCTGTTCATTGTACTGCTTCCACACACTTAGGACAAAGCCATTATCAGCTCATTCGGGACTGTTCATTCACATACTACAGGAAACAGGGGTTATGTTAAAATGCCCATAAAATCATTTTTCTTCTTTTCTTTTTCTAGTAAAAGAGTATACTGTACTACTGTGTAAACAAACCTACCACTCCCCGTTGTGTACATTTCATATATATAAAGTGCAAAAACAGCTCATTTTGAATTTGTTCATGATCTCACAACCATGATTTTACATATGATCACCTATTCAGCCTATAAATATGAGCTACATATTAGAGTCATATATATCTGATGATGTCTTTCTATGCACAATGACATGAAGCCAGCTGGCTACCATGCTGGTACTCTTTCTACGTACTGTAAAGTAACTGGTTTATGGGCGTAATGTAAACATATTTCCAAAAACAGATATAACAAAAATGGGTTGCGACAAGACATCATGTGTAGGAATCTGTATAAAAATTTTATTCCATTGCTTTAATAGTCACCAGAGAGTAACTAATGATTTAATTAATTAAACATTGCCCATTCTAGGGCGTCTGATATATACGTATGTTGAAACTGTATTGAATGTAATTTTTATTTGAATATTACAGACACTGGAACACAGTTTGGCGCTTCCTTTTTTCACGTAAAGCGGGACAGTGCTTTAATCTTATAAAAATTCCTGAAAGCTGCTGGTAGTACAGCAAAATTCTGTGTTGTGCAAATAATTTAACATAAATCACATTTGCATGAATGTATAACAAATCATGAAACTGGACTATGGCTTCTTCCCTGACTCAGCCTGCTTTCTGTGTTTTCCTATACTCTATTCATTCTGTCCTCTTTTCCTCAACTCTCTCCTTCCTTTATGCTGGCGTTAACCTGACTGGTTTCTGGTTTAGGTGCCGCTTTGCTAAAAGTGACAAAATGTTAGAATTTTGTTGGATTGTGCAGTATGATTTGACACGGTATCCTATTAGTGTAAAACATGTAGACCTATAAAATAATCTTAAAATTAACTATACTGCAGGCTTCTTTATACTGTACAAAGGCACCAATAACCCAATAACCTATTAGTATTCTAATGTTGAAACCTTTATAAATACATAATTAGGCCTAAATGCAAATGTATCAATGCAACTTTCCAAAGGTTTCAGCCATATGAAAGGTGTGTCTGAAGTGATCAGACTGTGTTAAGAAGAAAGGTCCACCCACAACTGCATAGAGATGGATATTATAGTAGAGCTGCAGTGTATAAACCTGAAGTGGAATGGACATTTTATAGTTCAGTGGTACAGAAACCATAGGAGTGAATAGGCATGTGGGATCACTAAAGTGTTTGAAGACTATGAAAATGATGCCGATCTGATTCTATGATAGATAGATAGATAGATAGATAGATAGATAGATAGATAGACAGATAGACAGATAGATAGATAGATAGATAGATAGATTCAACTTTATTGTCTTGGTTCAGTACAAGTACAAGGCAACGAAATGCAGTTAGCATCTCCCAGAAGTGCAAATAGTAGCAATAGTGTGAAACAGACAGTGCAAATGTACAATAATAGGCATAAATATAACATATCTATGAAATATATAAATATATGAAGAATATATACACAATTACAAATATATCTATGAATATGATATATAATATATACATACATACTATAAACACAATATATACGGTATGTTACATACTGTTGGAGTAAGCAGTTGTGTGTTGTATTCAATATACAGTGAACGGTCACTGTTCACTGTATATGGTTTTCGCAGTCACCAGATCTCAACCCAGTTGAACACCTATGGGAGATTTTGTACTTAATTGTTGGACAGTGACCTCTCCCCCCATCATCAAAACACTAGCTAAAAGAGTAGCTTTTGGGAGAAGGGTGTTTCATCCCTAAGGCACTCTGTATTTGGCTCTGTAAACTTTACAGTTTACAGAGCCAAATACAGAGTGGTGAGGCAAACCAAACCTAGGACCATCATCTGTGTAATTTTCATGAAGATCACAGGGGCAGCAAAAAACATAATCCGGCACTGATGACGTTCCATCAATTGAAAGTGACCCTGAAAACTGAATGCTTGCGACTTGCTGTAATGTGGAAGTAATCATCAGCTGGACTTGAGTGACGACCTCCCCTTGCTTTCTGTGCACACAATCCCACGAAACAAGGCACATGTGCGGCAGTCCTTCCCTTCAGTGGTTGTCATGGCGATGGCATTGCTTGAGTGCACTGAAACTACGCCATCTCACCTTCCACTCAACCTGGCGACAGTTAATGTAGATGCTAAAGCTGCCTCTTATTTTAGAGCAAGGCAGATACACAAATCTCATGATTTCAAGAAAATCACAAAGGCTTTTTGCCAGAGTCATTTCCTGCTTAATACAGACCCTGAGATGCACTTGTTGTCACAGTCATCTGCTTTGTCTGGAAAGTTTTAGACTCTCATGGCATACAGACCTGCGTGAAGGACACCAAAGGATATGACCACCACTTATCAGACAGGGAAATGACACTGACACGAACTCTGCATCATCACGGTGAAACAATGTGGCACAGAAGAAATAGATGGAAACTACACTCACCATCCACTTTATTAAAAAACACCTACTTTGTACTTACTGAGCACTTCATGAGGTCCACCTACCTTATAAGTCCACTATAGGGGCAAATCACTGATTGTTTTGATTGTTTCTGACCACAGGGACACTACTGACCAGATATGTTTGGGTAGTGGACCATTTTCAACACAGCATTGACACTGACATGGCATGGTAATGTGCATGGTGCTGGTACAAATTATGTTGGGGTTTTTACAAGTATCAGTGTCAGTGCTAGGCTGAGAGTGGTCCACCACCCAAAAATATCCAGCCACGAACAGCTCTATTTTCAGAAACTGACCATTGCTGAAGAGCTAGAGGATAACCAACACATGCATCAATAGATGGGCTATGGTCTATATCTGTACACTAGCAAGGTGGATCTACAATGGCTTTCTAATAAAGTGGCCAGTAAAACTACTGGGAATGTGTTTGTGGCAATGGAATAAGCCTCACTTTCTTTTTAGTCTATGAGTAGGCCCACAGAAGTATTATTTAAAACCATCTTGTCTACAGGTTAAAAAAACAGAGCTGTATTGTCATTCTTCAAATATGCTGCACTTGTTAAAATACTAAATGTTGCCTTGTTCACACTTACAGCATATTAGAACATATGTTCATGCCTGTGTTCTTGCCAGAAAATCAAGATCCTGTATGTGTAATAGTCTTTTCTCTGCTCGTTCTCTCTCTCTCTCCTTCTCCCTCACAGTACAGCTCTCCGTGTGTGAGTAATTCTGCTCATTGTTGCTCAGACCTAACCAACGTCACACCTGCTATGCACGCACGCTCTATTACATTTACTCCACATTCAGACAAACCAGCCGGAGCAAACCAGCATTAACACAACCAACAGGACACCAGCAAGGCTAACATCTCTTCCCCAGCTTTTCCGGTGAGTGCTCCTCAGCATGCCTTTTTATTATTGTTGTATTTCATTGTCCACAATACAATTTTTTGCACACACATAAGGAATGTAAGAAAGAGTATTCAAAATAGCACAGTGCAGTATTTGATGTCCGTGCACAAGTAAAAGCTCGAGCCAAACGGGTCTCTCATTTTCCTCTAAGCACTGCTGTTGTTTGAGGACAGCACTGAGAGCATTTTGAATAGCTATGCCTTGATGAGAATAGAAACACTCTGCGACCTCTTCAAAATCTCAAGTGCACATTCAACATGCCTTTTAACACATTGCGTACTCACAGCACATCTTTCTCCACATTGCAAACCAAGTGCGTACAAGACTGTGGTTCTGTGGATCATTTGCAATTCAATCCCCCCCCCCAACAAAAAAAAAATAATAATTACAGCGGAACAGCTGGAGGGGGTTCCAGGGGCCGCTCCACTCTGTGTTCAACTTGTCTGTTCCTGCTCTAAGCCTTATGCGAGTGAAGCTTTGCAGGTTCTCCCGGTGGAGCACAGCAGAACACTGCTGACAGGGGCAGAAGTTGCTTCTACAGTCATGCAATGCACAGGTGCTCCATGGTAACTGGGTGCACACTGCTAATAGCAACGCTTTCTGTCTATCATGCCTAATGTTTTTTTTTAATTATTATTACTGGAGAACATATTATAACAGTATCAATGACAAAGACTGAGTTACAAGTTTATCAGGTAAAACTACCACAGATTCACATTCTAAGTTTGCAGTTAGTAGCCCTTCTATTGCTGCAATTTTTTTGCCCCCAGTCTACCAAGTCCATCAGTGGAAAAAACCCACCATAAGACCACCTACATCTTATTGAATAAACTAGTTAAAGAGTTTATTAATGTCATCATTTTCTTGATTCAATTTCTGTGATATGGCTTTATCATTAAGACTAGAGACAGAATCTTCTGGTGCACTTTAATTACAGAAACAAAGCTTTATTTTTCTCAAATGAAGCTCTACTTCATAGGGAATAGTGCTGACTCATAAACTGCTTTCATGATTCTACCCACAATCCCAGAATTAACTTACCTGATCAAATGAACTTATACTGATAAAGTAAGGGAAAATGGTCTTCTGGCGGATGTTCTAGACAGTACTGTTCTCACACTGTGGTTATGCACATTCCCTCTGCTTGAGTTAAGGTCAATTCCAGGAAAACCAACAAAGGCTGTACATTTGCTATCTCCTCTATTGCCTTAACACACTCAATCGTGTTTGCCGTGTGGAAATTGATGGTCATTACATGCTATCTGACAGACACAGTCTTTCAAGGGCAGCTTGAAAAAAATTAGCTTCAGTTTCACCTCCTCTTTTACTTAAAGCAGCTAGGATACATATTTTGTTGACTGAATGCAAATCTGAGAAAAGCAAATGTAGGAAAAATATGGCTTTGCCATTGCCTGTGATAATGGAATAAATAGCATATGTGTTGTACCATATGTGTAGATTTAAGGAGGCAGTGGGGTCATGTCATCTCCAGTGTTTGGAGAGTAGTGAATAGCCCCTTTGCCAATGAACATGGAAGTCATTGAAGATGTCATATGGTGTCATGAGTTGTCATTTTGTGCAGTAATATAACTATGTCTTTATATCATGTTATTTTGGCTAATTGTCATGACAGATAAAACATATAGTGTCATGCACATGTTAAGTGTACTCTAGATAGCCATCATCACATCAAACAAATTATGATATGATGTGACAATTAACAGTAATAGTAACATGACTCTTTATATGGACATAATTTCTTATGGCAACTCATGCCCACATATGGCATGTGTCATGACATGTCTAACCAAATTTTTTATTTCGTTCAATTGGGTGTTTAGTTTGCACTTGTTTGATGGACATTAGTGATAACACAAGCAGTCAGTGAACACACATTTCAGTTCTTACTTGTCACATGACACCCAAATTGCAAATTTGTCCAGACAAAAAAACCAACATTTCTGCAGAACACTGTACAGACTTGCACTAAAGTGCCTCCCTAACACAGCTTAAGGTAGAGTCTCATATTCAGTTGACAAGACAATTTGAAACATTCTGTCCAACTGAGTGTGGCCCAGGTATTCAGACACGTTTTACGAAACAATGAGCTTATCTGAGACATGATGTTCTGCAAGCGCAGGGTACAGTGCGGAGAAGGTAACAGCAAGGACAACTGACACAATGGGCTTTACAGTGATGCCATCACTCAGGAAAGTGAAAGGGAGGCTGAGCTATATACTTACACTGAAAAGGAATGGTACTTCAAAAGATGTTATCTTGTGCTGTTGGCAAACAATGAAGCCAAGGTTTTTGCCTCAGCTTACAGAATTCACACAGCTTGTTGATAAAATATTGCAGAGAAAGCTGGGTAGGCAGTCCTAAACTGAGCCTGGTTAAATAAAGAGTTGCACATTTTCCCGATCACTTTAGACTAAGGCAGTGGTTGTTAGTCTTTGAGATACCCCTGCCCTGTGTGTCCCTGAAAGGGGAAAGTATTTTAAATATTTATGCATATTTAAGTTGTTAAGATGTACACAAAGTCATTTAGAATGTTTTGATATGAACTGGTGCACTGTAGAGAAACTTACAGACTTACAGGACTTCTTTACAGTGGTTGTGATAAAAACCAAGGATTGCAATGTCTATATCACAAGTGTATTTTATTTACTGTCAAATTGAACAGTGAACCTACACAGGTCCTCTGAGTATTTATATGTTATGTATACTCTCCATGTACCTCTCCACCTTAAATGGACTTAGATCAAAACCTTGTATCAAAATTGTTGTAAAACAATGTCTCAGGCATTAGGGCGGTAACTATGAGGTACCTTTTAGAGACATTAAATGCTATAGACCTTTGGTTTCTATCACCACCACTGTGAACAATTCTGACTACGTAGGTTTCTCCAAAATGTTGCATTTATAGCAAACCTCTCTGAATGACTTTGTTCACATCTCAATGATTAATTTATTCAGAAAGTGTTGGGGTAATTACCCATTAATTAGCTGATGAGTTGAATCAGGTGTATTGGAGCACACTTGGGGTGTCAAACTCCTGTCCTGCAAGGCTACAGCAAAACAAAGTTGTGCAGTGCTTTGGCCTGCTAGGATCAGGGTTTGTGTGGTTTAAGGAGGTAAATATAGAGAAGATGAAGAACAATAAACAAATGATGAAGGAATAACAGAATGAAAGAACAATGAAAATACTAAACATTGTACCTATCTTCACAGGCTGTGATGGAAACATTTGTATGAATCACAGTCAAAGAAGTGAGGATGAATGGTGCGCAGGTAGTCCACACAGACAGCAACTCTCTGCTCAAAGCCGTTTACCTAAGCCGACTCCGCCTGACACGCCTTCTCCTAGAAGGTGGGGCTTACATAAATGAGAGCAATGAGCGTGGGGAGACACCCCTAATGATCGCCTGCAAGAGCAGACACACTGACCACCAGGGGGTTCCAAAGGCAAAGATGGTAGCGTATTTGCTGGAGAGTGGGGCTGACCCAAACATCCAAGACAAGAGTGGAAAGACTGCCCTGATGCATGCCTGCCTAGAGCAAGCCGGACCTGAAGTAGCGTCCTTGCTCCTGGCTAGTGGGGCTGATCCCTGTCTGAAGGATCACACGGGTTCTTCTGCTCTGATTCATGCCATCCATGCCAGCGATGAGGAAACGCTAAAGCTGCTAATGGATGCCTGCAAGGCCAGAGGGAAAGAAGTCATCATCATCACTACAGACAGACTTGCTTGTGGAAGGCAGCTGGCCAAACAGTATCTTAAGGTTCCTTCACTGGCAACATCAGAGCAGTGGGATAAGCTGAATTCCTCCTCAGTGCCTTGCGCTTCTCCTTCTGAGATACACCTCAGTACATCATCCCAAGGGACAGGCTCCTCCAGCTCCACAGAGCATATGTTCTCATTTCAGGATGTGCAGAGCATTGTCAACTCCCAGCCAACCTCTCCGTCTCACCATCCACATCTGGTACATGGGAGCGTGAACAAGCTCTATCATCTCCAGAGACTACATTCAGAACCCTGGCTCAAGATCCCTCAATCCTTTCTAGCCCAACAGCAAGCTGAAGGCTCCTCTCCCATGGAAGAACTACCTGACATAACACCTGAGGAAGAGCTTGCTTTCAAAATGAACAGATTAGCTTTAGGCTCTCCTCTCTCACGCCACTGCAGCATGGACCTCAAAAAAGTAGCCAGTTCGGGCCAGACCTTGCTTCAAGAAAGCAACGCAAGAGAGGGTGGATGTTTAAGACCAGAGGAAGCACTGACTCGTAATATGTCCTTTGATGGTTTATCTTCTCTCCACTCTCTCTCCCATCCAAACCTTCACTCCAAAAGCAGTGCAGAAATGTTGGTCACAGAGAAGGACCCAGAAAAGTCTCTCCCTAACCTAGCAGTGTCCAGTCTCTGCAACATCATCCACCGTCGAAAGCTTGGAATGGACCACTACAGTTCTGATTCCCAGCTTTCACTGTTAGGCAACTCCCTAGAGGAACGGAAAAGGCAGCTTGAGAGGAGACAACTTGTGACCTCACGCTCCTCCACTTTGATAGGCTCTCAAGAGTCTCTTGAGAACAACTCACTGGCATATATACACAAGAGACATCCAGTTAGTCTCGAGCTCAGGGGGTCAGGTGCTCCTCTCACAGATCCCACTTCCTACTCTCGGCCAGGATTCCTGCCACCACTGAATCAGCACGCTACAATCCCTCAAATTACTGGAGCGTGCAATTCCACTGCTCTCTGCTCTAGCAACAAACCAGCCTCTGGCTTGGTAACAGGCATAATGCCCTATCTCCCCTCAGCTCCAGCTGGCTTTCCAAAGGATCTCAAGACCAGGAGAATGCTCATGAGAAGGCACTCCATGCAGACCGAGCAAATCAAACAGCTAGGTGACTTCAAGGACATCTTTGGTCATTGACTACTGAAAGACACTTAAGCCTTTACTGCATGAACTATCAAATTATGAATTTTATTAAATTAAAAATGGCATAATTAAAAGAAAACAGTGAAAAGAAAATGTGAAGACGTACCTTGCATTTTGTTGCCAAATGGCAACAGTGTACACTAGGGGTGGGAATCTCTAGGCACCTCACAATTCGATTCGATTACGATTCAGAGGGCTGCGATGCGATTATAAAACGATTATCGATGCATCTCAGTGCATCTTTTTTTTTCTATACAGCGTTTCTATTTTCTCACTGTCTGAGGACTTGGTACTTTTAAAACAAAGTATTTGTAATGATCCATAATGAATTTACTTCCAATATCTCTTATTAAAAAATCAAATGGAAGTGATGAGGCAAGGGAACTAGATGGCTCTCATTCACTGCTCTTGTTCAGAGCACATGAGACACTGCTGCCACTCATCTGCGATGAAATGCGTCGTTAGTTTCCTGGTACGTTAAATCTGCAGCGACAGACGATCAAACACAAAAAAGTTGCGAAGCTGAAGTCACTTCTCTTTCGAATTTTCCTGTTCCACCTTAGATGGTGCCGCATTTAGGTTACATTTGGCGCCTCATTCAGAATTTAAGGTGGAACGGGAAAATTCGAACGAGAAGCGGGAGAATGAGAAGCGACTTCAGCCTTGTAAAACAGTCGAACGATGAGAGACATTTTAGAAGAAACTACTGAACTTTTGAGGAAAAGTTTCCTGAGGGAAAGGGGAGGAAAGCAGCTCTTCTTAACATTTGGGTTGTGAGTCTTGACCTAACCTGGCTTTTAATGCAGAGGGAGCCGGTCGGATTTCTCGCTCATCCAGTTGTGTTTTTGTTATGTGCCGCCAGAGACTGTCCAGGCGCTGCACTTACCCGCTTCCAAGTTCCGCCTTCTACATTCTGTCAACATTACGTTATAAATTAAATATTTAGAAAATCGATTCAGAATCGTTCACGTCCGCATCTAAGAATCAATTTTTTTCCCGCACCCCTAGTGTACATCAATGATACTGTATTCTGCTATGCATACAAAGGGAAAGAACCAATGAAAAAACATGTGCGTAACAGCCATATATCCAGGGTTTCCAGTGAAAGTCTATTAATTTACTCCTATTGTATGCATTAAAGATTGCAGTTCCATTGTTGCATGCTGTTGCCCCAAGGCAACAATTGTATTTTATCACTTTATACAAAAATCCTTCAAATCTAAATTTGTTTTATTTATGAGAAAGGAAAACCTCTCATAGATTGTGTTATTTTTTGGTCGAGTTGTTTTGTAGAAATATTAATTATACATACTCTTTAAGAGGCCTAAACTCACCATGTGATGTATGTGTGACAAAAAAAATGCAGAATGCAGGGAAGCATGTAATTACATAAAAGTATACCATGTCATTCAAAAAGCCTTTTATTTCCAAAAGAAAAGATAAATATATACTTCTATTTTGTAGTCAGACAAAAAAACAGTCCATATGGCAACACAGTGCAGTAAAGGGTAGAGTTGTTGGTGTTGGAATTATTGAAAAGTTGTAAGAATAGAATTTTTATGTTTAAATACTGCCAAGAGATTGTTATAAATTACTGTGTGTGTGGAATGAGGTTGTCAGAAAGTTCACACCCCCTGTTCCTTTAAGATGACAGCACATTTACTCTTGTAACACACTCACTGTTTAAAACCGATCTCTGTCGTGCTGGGTGTCTGTGTCTTTATGTGACTTAAAAATAAGCAAAAGGTGCATGTATCCTTTAAAAAAATCAACTACCTGTTTACATATTTATCACTTTAGAACTCAAGGATAAAGTGGGTGTTGTAAAATACAACACAGTCTTTTAAATATACACAGCTCACAATGAAGATTAAGACAGCTAACATTAATTGGCCTTATTCTAAAAAAAGTGAATTTGCTCCTTCAACCTGCAAACATACTTTCATTGTAAGTACATTTACTTACACACTAAATCAGTTCAGTCAACCCACTCTTTTCCACAAAAAGCACTGTAGACAGTCCACAGTTTATTTCTGTTCTAGGTCCCAGCACACCTTTGCTATAGGACAGCGATTATCTTGCTGTATTGGGAGTTTGAATGGAACATAAGCTGTGGCCTAGTAACAGCTGGTAACAAAACTGGATATCTCAGCTAGGCTCCAGAAAGGTAACCTATTGTGGCATCAGCATAGATCAAAATGGGAAATATTGCACTTTAAAGGCAGTTTGTACCCACACAAACTGCCCCCGAGCCCAGCACAAAATAGCACAAATAACATTTGTGCACTTTTTTAACTGAATCACATCAACTTACTTGCAAAGAATGTCTACCCTACGGCAATGCAAGCCAGGAGCGGGACGCTATGCTATTTTGCAGGACATTACTTACTATCAACAGTGTTTTGTGAATGATCTGCAGAGTTGAGGTATTTAGCATTTCTATTTCAGTCAATAGATTGTCTTATGATTTAATTATAAAGTCAAAACTCTTTTTGTTTTTTTTTTTTTTTTTTTATTAAGCCTGTAGATCTAAACATTTTTAAGATTATGAAAAACATACATTCAATCAGGTGTGTCTAAACTTTTGACTGGCACTGTAAATTACCACATTTCTGTATTTTCCTATTATAGCATATGCACAGTTAATGAAGGACTTGGTAATTACCTGAAGAATCACAGGGATTGCTCCTAGGGTGCCATGTATCCAAAATGTGCAATATAATCAATAGTTTATGAAAAAAGTATATTGTAGTGTGCAGTTACAGTTGTTGCCTCACAGCAAGAGTTTGATTCCTTGGCCAGGCGACCAGGGTCTGATCTGTGTGGAGTTTGCATGTTCTCCCCATGTCTGCGTGGATTTACCCCCATTGTCCAAAGACAAGCAGTCAGGGCGAACTGGAGATACTACATTGCCTAGAAGTGTGAATGTGTATGTCTGTATGTCTGCCCTGTGATGGACTGGAGGCCTGTCCAGGGTATTTCCTGCCTTCCACCCAGTGGCCGCTGGGATAGGCTCCAGTACCCTGCGTGACCCAAAAGGATAAGCGGCTTAGAAGATGAATGAATGAATTCCAGTACCATTTATCAGTAATTGGACAGTGGCAGAATTTTTATTGTTTTGATTGTGTACTGCTGAATGCTAATTTACTAGGGATGCATTATCACTTCAGTCTAAAATGCTTAAAATGGAGCTTTTGGTTTTTGGTCAAAAAAAGGGGCAAACATTTTGACAGAAAAAAAAACTAAAATTAGGCAAAGTGTCAAGACTCACAATTTTATTGGCAACGAAAATGAGAAACAGTAACTTAAAATGTTGTTTCGTTCCCTTCTCTTTCTTGTTCTGCTTAGCACTGACTTCAAACAGCTTGAGTGGCTGCAGACCAAAAGTAAAAATGTCAGCTGTGTGGACATTAGACAAGCAATTATAATCACTGGGGATACCACACCCGATAATTCACACACACACACAAACACACACACGCACACATTTTCTAAGCCGCTTATTCTTCTGGGTTGCGGGGGGAGCTGGAGCCTGTCCCAGCGGTCAATGGGTGGAAGGCAGGAAACCCCCTGGACAGGTCACCAGTCACACCCAATAATTCTTCTAATAAAAATAATTCTCCTTTAAGGGTTTGATAACCCTTAAAAACAACATCCCACAAGACATGCAGAATACAACAAAACAGCAGAAGCAAAAAAGAAAGTGCCTGGAAGCATGCCGAACCCATTTGTATCCACAGGTTGTAAAACGACGAAAAAATTCACAAAAGACAATGCCAAAGTGCAAAGTACAGCTGAAAAAGAATGGAATTGGCCTTTGGAACTGTTCTCTGTGGAAGCCATTTGCTGCCACTTAAAAAATAAAGGCTATTTACTCATAATAACGTCATAAAAATGAGAACGGTCCTCATAATTGTGACTTAGTATCCAATAATTATGACATAGCACAACAATGAGATAATATCTCATAATGTTGACTTAGTATCTTATAATCGTGTTACTTCGAATCGAATCGAATTACTTCATATCCCATAATAATGTGATCCTCTGTCATTATTATGACTTAGTATCTCATTATCTCATTAGACTTGCTGTCTCATAATTACAACTTAGTATCTCAATCATGACATATCTCATAATTATGAATTAGCATCTTATGATTTACTTCCTCATAATTATGACCCAGTATCTCATAATATTACTTAGGATCTTATGATAACAACGGAACAAAGTAATCACAGTCTTATACATAACCTTACGGGACCATAAGAAATGCACCAGTATGACCTGAAAAAGTTCACCACAATATCATCCGTGTCAGAACAAAACTTTGTGTCTCCATTTTCGTATCTCATTTTTTAAAACATAATTTGAAAATGGCAGCTGCCTTCTAAGTTGTGTGACCATTTCATTACAAATTGTCCAAAATTAAATGGAATAAAATTAATTACATTAACTTAACATTAAAAGTTAATGATGTTTTCTCCTTTGCCTGTGAAGTTACCATCTCAGAGATGCAAGAAGCAGAAAGGCCTGGTTATAGTTTGCTGAAATGTAAACATAAAAGGCTTGGTCTGGGACAAATTCTAATGGAAAGATGAGTTGAAGATTACCCTCTCTGGTTCTTACTGATGATGAGATTGCTCATAACAGCCAGAGGATGAATTCTGAAGTGTACAAAGAATCTGAACAGCTTAGATCAAACTAAATGCCCTAAAACACAATGGACAGTACTTCAGGACATTGGGCCTCATTCTCCAATATCTTCCTAAGTATTTTCTTAAATGTGTTCTTGAGAAAGGTCTTAAGAAAAAGCCTACATCACACTCATAACCTGTTCTAACTGCAGAATTGGTTGCACCTTTGTGCTCATGAGTGTGCATAGATTCTGTTCTTCCTCAAGAACAAATCCCAAATAAGAAAACATCGGTGAATGTCAGAATCTTTGTGAAAACTGTGTAAGTGAGTTTTATGGAGAAATTTCTTCTTTATAACAACTGGTGAATGAGGCCCAAACATACTACTAAAGCAAGCAAGAAGTTATTCCAAGGACAAAATGTGGTATGTTTTTGACCAAAT